GGGAATTAAGTTAGAAGTTAGCAACAGAAGATTTTGGGAAGTTCACAAACATGTCGCAATATAAAAGCACACTCCTAAATATCTAATGAGTCAAAGAAGAAATCACAGGGAAAATTAGAAATACTTTAAAATGAATGAAAGCAAAAGCACAGCATGTCAAAGCTTATGGGATGCAGCTAAATTAGCTCTCTGGGGGAACTTTATAGCTGTAAATATCATATTGACAAAGAGAGATTTCAAATCGACACTGTAACCTTGCATCTTAAGAAACTAGAAAAAGAAAAACAAACTAAATCCAAAACAAGCCAAAGGATGGAAATAATAAAGAATGGAAATAAATGAAACAGAAAATATAAAAAAATAGAGAAAATTGATAAAACTAAAAGTTGGTTCTTGGAGAAGGTCAGTTTTGTACTGACAAATATTTAGTTTTTTTTCTTGGTCATTCTAACTAGGTATTTATCAGTTTTGTCAATCTTTTCCAATAACTAACTTTTAGTTTTATAATTTTTAATTAATTAGTTTTCTCTTTTTTTTCTATTTTCATTTGTCATTTAAAAAATACAAATCTCAACCACAATGAGATACCATTTCACACTCACCAGGATAGATTAAATCAAGAAAATAGAAAATAACAAGTGTTGCTGAAGATATGGAGAAATAGGAACCCTGGAACATTGCCGGAGACAGTGCAAAACAGTACAGCTACTATGAAAAATAGTTTGGTGGTTCCTTAAAAAATTAAAAATAAACTTACCATATGATCCAGCAATTCCACATCCAGCTTTATACCCAATAGAAATGAAAACATACGTCCCAACAGAAACTTGTACCTGAATGTTTATAGCAGCATTGTTCATTATAACCAAAAGGTGGAAATAGCCCAAATACCATAAATAGATAAACAAATCATTGTATATACATAAAATGAAATATTGTTCAGCCATAGAAAGAAAGAAATCTTGCCATTTGCGACAACATGGATAGATCTTGAGGACATTATGCTACACGAGACAAGTCAGATAGAAAGGACAAGTACCATATGCCCTCATTACATATGGAATAAAAAAAATCTTACAGAGAACAAATAGTGGTTGACAGAAGTGGGGGTTGGAATGGGGTGAAATGGGAGAAGGGAGTCGAAAGGTATAAGCTCTCAGTTATATTTTAAGTCAGTCCTGGGGATGTAATGCACAGTGTGGCAACTATAGTTAATTATACTGTTGTATTGCATAGTTGAAAGCAAAAGAGTAAATCTTTACTAAGAAAGAAAATCTTAAAGCTCTCATCACAAAAATAAAATTTTCTCTAACTATGGATGGTGAGAGATGTTAACTAGACTCATCATGGTGATCATTTTACAATATACACAAATATTCCATCATTATGTTGTATACCTGAAACTGATACAATGTTGTGTGTCAACTATCTCTAATAGAGAAATCTTTATCACTCCTCCCACTTTATTTCCATAAGTGATGAACAATCTAAAAATGAAATTGAGAAAACAATTCTATTTATAATAGCATCAAAAATAATAAAATACCTAGGAATAGATTTAATAAAAGAAGTGCAAAACTTGTACCAAGAAAATTAAAATATCATTGAAAGAATTAAAAGATCTCAATAAATGGATATTCCATGTTTCGGAAGATCTCCTGTTGTTAAGATGGCAGATTGAATACAATTCCTATTAAAATCCCCCTTTTTTTGTCTTTTTCGGCAGAATATTCCATTTTTCAGAAGATCTTATGTTGTTAAGATGCAGATTGAATACAATCCCTATTAAAATCCCCATTTTTTTGTCTTTTTCGGCAGAAATTGACAAACTGATCCTAAAATTCCTATGGAAATGTGAGGGACCTAGAACAACCAAAACAATCTTGAAAAAGAAAACCAAGTTGAAAGTTCCCAGTTTCAAAACTTACCACCAATCAAGACACTGTGGTACTGGCATGAGGATAGACATATACTTCATAGGAAAACTCCAAATCTGTTTAGGTTGAATTAAAGGAATAAGGATTTTTCTCTGACATGGGCCCATGGAAGGACTACAGTAGTGGGCCTGAGCTGAAGCAGAGAGTCTGTGGGTTTGAGTGAAATTCCCGGCAGGTGGCCAGGGGTATGGGGTGGAGCTTCCTGCCAGATACCGTTAAGAGGGCTGTCAACCAGTCGGCATTAGGGAATGTTGAGGGAGCCTATGTCAGCTAATGGGTACGGTGGCCTTGGGCCCAAGGCCCTGGCACTGTAAAGGATGCTTCGCTGCCCTGTGAGTTTAGGATCATGTAAGCCACTCAGATCAAAGAGGAAGAACACTCCCAGGGGACTCAGAGATGTGCAGACAGTGAGGGAGAAAATATGTGGACTTCCCAGGTTCTTATTGGTAAAGAAGCCCCCTTTCTACTATCAATTAGAATCTGGTTCTGAGACCAACCTGAGGTCAGTCAAATCCTTGGCTCAGTCACTCTCCCCATCAGTAGACAGGAGGATAGCACATATGGTAAGGATTAAATGAACACTTACTATGTGTGTTTGTGTGCTCAGTTGCTTTAATCGTGTCCGACTCTTTGCAACCATGGACTGTAGCCTGCCAGGCTCCTCTGTCCATAGGATTCTCCAGGCACATGTGCTGGAGTGGTTTGCCATGCCTATCTCCAGGGAATCTTCCCGAGCCAGGGATCAAACCTGTGTCTCCTGCATCTCCTGCATTGCAGATGGATTCTTTACCCACTGAGCCACCTGGGAAGTCCTTAATATGTGTAATGATGAGTATTAAAAGCACCAAGAAAGCATGGCTAACAGGAGAGATGAGTCATGGGTTTGAGTCTTAGCTCCATCACTTTGTAGCTACAAAGTCTCTAAGACTCAGTTTCCCCTCCCTCAGCCATCAGATTGTTCACTGTGAATGAGTTCAGGCAGCCATCATCTGCACCCCACCCTCACCCCACCTCATCACACCACAGCCACAGGTAAACTCTGAAAAACAGCGTCAGATCATGTCACCTTCTGACTTGACCCTCCTATTGGTTCAATGGCTCTGAGAAGAAACCCACCTTCCTTGCTACATTTGCCCAAGACCAAGACCTCCTGTGACGCTGCGCCCCCTTGCCAATTCTCAATCTACTTGGGTTTCATTCATTTTCTAGAACCCACAGATGACTTCCTACCTCAGGGCCTTCTGTGTGGGACACCCAGCCACCAGCTCCCAGACAGTCCCCTTGTGGGTACTGAAGACCTTCCCTCAAATGTGACCTCAGGGCCTCTGGTCACACTCTCTAAGGTGGACTTCATTACTCACAGCCACCACCTTTGCAGGCCTGCTTGCCTTCCTGGGGCACGGCTCACTGTCTGTCATGATTTTGCTCAGGAACTTCTGTTTTGGCTGGGTCTCCTCCTAGGCGCTGAGCCATGGTCCCAGTGAATCAGTAAGCAGTGCCCAGCCAGGAGTAGACAGTGGGGAGGTGTCTGAAGGACGAATGAAGTGCCTGGCGTAACTCCTGCCATGCATCCCATTTATGACTTGATCTTGAACTGATGGTGAACGGGATGATTCTGGAAGATGAAGGGGTTTTGGCTACTTGCCCAGCTTTCTGGAAATAGGATGGGAGAGAGAAGGCAAGATCTGCTGCCTTTTAAAAAGGACAAAAGGGGTGGGGTCTGACTTTCAGTCAAACCTCAAGGGCTACTTGGCAGGTGGGTGACCCAGGGAGGGGGCATTCCCTGCAGACAGAGAGCACATCCTCAACCTAAGTGTCACTGGGTTCCAACGAGGCCTGGAAAAGGGTGGTTCTAGGCCACTGTCATTATCTCATGGGATGGAAGGGATGGTTTTACAGGAGGAGGTAGAGGAAACCGAATAATATCCCAGGTCTCAGCCACGCTGGGCAGTGCCTAGAAGGGCAGCCTCAAGGATGATTAGAACACGCTGGGACAGTGGCACAGGCTTCAGAATTCCAGGGGAACCTGAAAAACCAAAGCAGTTCAGCTGGCCCACTTGATGGCAGGGCAGGCTAGACTCTGACGTGGTAGCCTGGAAGGGTTCAGGCAGCTTGCTGGCTATAGGGTCAGGGTCCAGGGCTCCACCCAACCAGCATCTAGGGTAAATCTCCTGTCAGGGGTCTTCCAATTTCAGAGGCGAGCATGGTGTAAGAGGAACCAGTAGGCCTTTGAGGAGGACAAAGCAGAAATGCTATGTGACTGGGGCTAAATCTTCAGACTAGTATTTTGCAAGCTGTGGGTTTTGACCCTTTCAAGGGTTATGAAATCCAGAGTGGGCTGTGACCAAATGTTTAAAATTTAACAGAAAATAATAAAATAAAATTTAACAGAAAATAGTGGAGTGCATAGTACACAGTAGGTGCTATTTCACTAAATATGTGGGTGTTTGTGTGTGTGTGGACACGTCTAAATCACTGAGATGTAAAATGAATTTCTTACCGAGATACAGCTGAAAAAAAAACAATTTGAAAGCTGATGTTCTTCATAGGATGGGTGGAGACCATTAAAGGGTCAGTTCACCCAAAGGGCAGGAGGCTGAGGCCTGATCCAGGGAACAGCTGGAGGTAAGCAGACTGGATTCAGTTTTTGGGGGGAGGCATTGGTTTTGGAGTCGGGCAGAGCTGGACTCCAATGCTGACTGTTCATCTAACTAGCTGTGTGATGGTCTCTAAGACACCTAACACGCCTGGCTTTGTCACTTGCAGGTATCAGTGATGCCAGCAGCATCCTCGCTGATGGAGGAGAGCTGGCACCCCATGAGTTCGTGGGGTTCCTCTCCAGTGTCCAGATGATGTTGGCTCTCAAGGGCTCTTGCGGGCAGCAACAGCCCCCCCAGGCCCTGATTCCACCTCTCCCACTTCGTGCCCTGCCTGCTAAGTCTTCTGCCCACTGGTCTTCTGCCCCCTAAGTCGTAAGGCAGTTGGCTGCCAGGAATTCCCCCTCCCCCCACCCGCCCCAGCACCTTCCAGGGTGAAGATGAGAAATAATGAGACAGCAGCCTCTAGGAAGGAGATCCAGGAGAGGAAAAAGAAACAAATTTTATTTAAGCCCCAAACACTCAGCTAGAAAAACCAAAAAGGAAAGAGAGCAGGAAAGTGGGGGAAGAAAAGGGACATTAGAAAAGAGACAGAGAAAACACAGCAACCCTTTTCCATTTAGAAATTGTCAAGTTACACTGACAGAGGTCACAGAATACCCACAGAAGCCATCACTGCTACACCAACATGGGCCCTACGGGGGACAGGGTGGGGTATGAGCCAGGCTCACCCTGGGGGCTCCCAGGTGGGACCCTTTGCAGAGCCTCAGGCCTGAGGCTCCTGGGGAAACAGCATATTGTGGAAGGGGTGGGAGAGAAACCCCCCATGCGAGTAACACAGCACAGTGGGCAGGGGCTGGGGGGACCAGGTACAGGGGTCCCCCCAGACGTCTTGGTTTTCTCTTGGTCAAGCACACATTGATGGACGGAGCAGTGAGGCGCATGCAGCTGGGGGGCTTTGACGTGCTGGGGACTTTGAGAGGGCCCAGGGGCTGGGGGCTTGAGAGGAGTGCCAGAGCCAGTGGTGCAGGGATGAGGGAACACACACTCAGGCGCTTCTACACTTGGGGTCTACACACATGTGCACGCACGCACCTCCATGTACACCCCTCCATGTACACATACAGGTCTCACAGCTGCTGCGTCTGCACACACATATTACACACGTTCTTACACGCCAAGCTTCTCCACGCCAAGGTGCCGGTGCGTGCGTGCCAACACCCAGGCTGGTTACATGCACCACTGTGGGCGTGCCTCCCTGCACACACAGGCGGGAGGCCATGTCTGTGCATGCTCATGCCTCCTCTCCTCTGCACACCGATAAATGGACTAGTGCCCGTGGACACACATACACACACACACACACACACACAGAAGTTGTGCACAACTCCTCCTATAAATGTACTGGCACCAAAGTGAAAGGTACAAATTCCACTGGGCTCCACATTAGCAGCGGGTGGGGTGGGGCACACGACTCCCTCCATTTGCCCCCTCCTGGATGGACACGCCCCCTTCCCCTCCCTCACAAAGGGACATTCAGCTCAGGACAATGACGGTGAGGCAAACATACAGGGCACAGGGCTGAGGGTGGGAGGTGGGGCAAGGGAAAAGTAGCAAGCAAAGAGTAATGGAGTGGAGGGAGGAGGGGGCACCACTCCCCCCTCCCCTCCCAAGTCAGGGGTCTCTGTACAGCCGAATCAAACCAAACCATTTCACTGGACCACAGAAACCAGGCCAATGCGCCCACCCTCCAGCCCCTCCCCCGCCAAAACAGCGGCCAGGGAGAGTGCTGTGGTTTTCTTTTTTTTTTTCTTTTTTAAATATTTATATATATTTATATTACGTATATTATATATATATAATATGTAAATATATTTTTAAAACAATATAAAATGTTAAGACACTTCACTTAAATGTAAAGAGTTGCCTGCAATTAAAAGTAATTGCATCATTTATGAGGTCCTTTTTTTTTTTTTCCTATTTTCCAGGGTTTTTTTTTGGGGGGGGGGAGGGATTTTTTTTTTCCTCTTCTTTTGTTATTTTTCAAAAAGGCTTGCTTGCCTTTGTACAAAAATGATCCAAAGCTAGAAAACAAGGATGAACCAACAAAAACAGCAACAGAAAAAAGAAAATGAAGTAACACAACCCAGTGTCCCCTCCCTCCCCAACCCTCAACAGCTCCCCCTGGCTCTCCTCAGGCGCCAGGCCCCAGAAGGCTCTGCTCCTTCAACGGCTCCTTCTTTCTGTGCTTTCTGGGGGGTTGGTGACTAATCCCAACCCCCTCCTCCCCTGTGCTTACTCCACTTTGTGCTCCAAACAGGAATCCTGCTCCCTGGGGACCCCTCTCCATCCTCCTCCTCCCCCACCCACAGAATCTCCCTGCTGGCCCCTCACTGTGCCCTGAGGGTGGGGGGGGGGGTGGTTGCTGAGAGTCAAAACTGATCTCTCCCTCCCCTTTTCAGGACCCCCACCAAAAGCCTCACTGCCCAGAGCCTCTGCAAGGCCGGTGCCCACGGGCCGGAGGTTGGGGGCACTGGCTGGCTGGTCAGGCCTCAAGGACCCTTGAGAATCTCACCAGGGTCACCAGCTCCCCATTTTAAAAACCATCTCTAACGCCTTCCCTGAAAACCCTCAAATCTCAGAGAGGATGGTTAAAGGTCAAGTCAGCCCACCTGTGGGGTCAGAGCTGTCCTCACTGCCCCCCATCAACCCCCTCTATATTGCCCCCACTTCCCTCACAACAAGACCCTTCCCACCCTCCAGGCCTCCAAGTCTAATTTGCTAGGCCTTTCATTCTTATCCATCCCACCCCATTAAATAAGTTAATGTCATTTAAAGTGCTAAATTAGGAAACTAAAAGTACCAGATACCCCTCCTCGGGGCTGCCTTCTCCCAAGGCAGTATCCCCAGCATCAGGCTCTCTGCTCAACCCACCGTCCACAGCCAGCAGTCCAAAGGTGCCCCGTTCCTCCCACTGGCACGGGCCAGGCAGCTCCTCACCGCAGGGAGGTGGTCCCGGGAAGCCAGCTCCTCTCCAGGGACACACAGATTCAGTGGCGTCACACCACCCTGAGGCCCCTCTGACTCTGGCCTTCCTCTCCAGCCCACCTGTCTTGACTCCAGGCCCACCCGGGCATGAGTGGATGGGAGCAGAGAAGCAGCAGAATTCAGTCATGTCCTGAGGGTGGGCAGGTGTGGCACCTCCCGGGCCAAAGTCTCCTTATGTCCAATTTTCTAGCCTGAATTTGGGGTTGGTCCAATGTCCAGGTTTTCCTCCAGGAAGGTTTCTGAAGAAGGGAAAAAGGGGGTGTCTTGCCCCTCCAAGTCTCCGTGGCTCAGAGTTTGTTTGGAGTGCTCTTGGGAAGCATGGAGGGGGGGGGGGCAGTGAGAAGGGAGGGCAGGGATGGAGGAACTTCAGGATGGACTTGGGAGGGAGCATGGGGAAAGAGAAGAGGGAAGGATGGTGACAGGAAGTGCGCCATTTTGGAATAAGAAATCAAGGGAAGGTGGTGTGTTTTGGTCTTTAGTTTTACTGGTTTGCTTTTTTTTTTTCCCCTTAAAAAAAAAAAAAGACAAAGATGAATCATTCAAAAAACCAAAAACACCAACAGGGGATGGGCAGAGAGAGCTGAGAGGGCCACATCCATGGCAAACTCTTCAGAGATTCTGGACAATGAGGTGGAAATGAAGGGAAGCAGAGGAAAGAGAGATATGGAAGGGAAGAGGGAGGAGGGCAGGCTGGGGTGAGGTTATAAGGAAGCTTCTAGAAGGAGATGGAAGAATTCCTCGCTCCAAAGGAAGTCAATACGGGGATGGAGGTTCTGGAAGCCGAAGGCTTTTCTGAGACTGGGCTTGAGGTCTCATTCGAACCACTCATCTCTTTAGATGGTTTAGTGGCCTAGAACAAAAACAGAGGTTGGGGTCAGAGAGAAGGGGAGCCTTTGTGCTGGCCCCCAGTTAGTTTTTTTAGGTTCTCAGTTATCTGTTTTATACATAGAAAGTGAAGTCGCTCAGTCGTGTCCGACTCTTTGCGACCCCATGGACTGTAGCCCACCAGGCTCCTCCATCCATGGAATTTTCTAGGCAAGAATACTGGAGAGGGTTGCTATTCCCTTCTCCAGGGGAACTTCCCAACCCAGGGATCAAACTCAGGTCTCCCACATTGCAGGTGGATTCTTTACTGTCTGAGCCACCAGGGAAACCCCTCATATAAGTAGAATCATGCAGTACTATCTTTCTGAGTCTTTGCCCAAACGGAGGCAGGAGGGGAGGAGCAGCCCAACCAGGGCCCTTTCCAACTTCAGCAGGAGGTCTTCCGGTGGCAGCTGAAGAGTGAACTTGCCCTCCTGGAACCCTCAGGACCCCCACGCCCACCCCCACCTCCTGCCCCACAAGTGTTCCTCCAGCGTTGAGCTGTGCCTTGTGGGTAATGGGGAGCCACCCTCTCAAGACGTGTCTGGCACTCACTGGTCACCTCTGATAGTTAGAAATAGCCGTGCCCCCTCCCCACCTCCAGCAGACCCCTAGCACCTACACTGGCCCTGGAGATGTGAGAGAGTTCTAGACCCATCTGCATCTCCTAGAGGGGATGACCTCTGACAAATGCAGATTCCTGGACCCTGCCCCAGGATCCATCTGTCCTGTGAGCCCAGGAATCTGTGTTTTAGGCCAGCGCCCCACGTGATCCTGCCACACAGTTAATTCTGAGATCACTGGGTTAGGGTAACATAGACCAGGTTTTCTCCCTGTGTCTGTATCCACTGTCCCTCCCGGCCTTGCTTAGCCACTACTCGTGTGATAACCAAACTGCCCTGATTAAAGAAAAGAGGGACGTGGACTGGAAGCAGAGTGCTTGGCACACCGCCAGAGACGTCCTGCAGGTCCCGCCTGGGCATGGCCACGCCGCTTCTCCTCGACCTACATAATTATCTGGCTGCTTGGCAGCCTCTAGCAGATGCCCTGCGGGGGGGTGGGGGAGTGGAAAGCAAGATGCCCCCTGCCACCAGGAAGGGAAGTGACCACAGGCACCTGACTGGCTGACAGTGAACCTGCCCTTGAGGTTGCTGATCACATTTCTTCATCCACATGTGCACAGCAAACTATCTCTGGGTTTTGCTCACCACACTGTGGTCTGCGGTCTACATTTTCCCCTTTATGAAAATCCAGGCATGAGTTCACTGTTTGGGTCTTCTAACCCCTTTCATCCTGACTGTGGCTGCTCACTCCTTTCTCAGAGGGGTTGCAGGCCCGCAGCCCCCACATACTTCGAATTGCTCAGCCCTTTGTGGAACCCATGTGCCTGGCATGGCCTGTGTTGCAGGGGTCCCGGCACCCCGGCCTGGAGACAGACTCATTTAAAGACAACCAGGAGCTCTCTTACTCCCTCATCATTTACTGTGGGCTCCAGTCCCGCCCCTCCCCTCCCACCATTTCCCATTTAGAGTTTTTTCTCCCAAACCCAGGGGGGCAAGGGGACCTGTGCACTTTCTCCTGAGTCTCTTCACATCCCCTTGCGACCCAAGTCAGCTGTTGGTTCCCTCCTGGCTGTCCCCTTTGGTCTCAGCTCGCCTCTCTAGTTACGAGCCTTTCCTGTTCCTTCCCTTTAGCATTTGTCAAGAGCCTCACTCTGTCCCGAACTGTGGTCTCTTGAACACCTCCCCCCCAGCTTGTGTTGCCCCTGACTCCTGCGTTCACTCAGGCGAGGTGTCCTCATTGGGAAGATGCCCCCTCCCTCTTCTCCCATAGCTGGTGCAAGGCCTTTAAGCTTCATGGAGCAGCAGCAGTCACCAGCTTACGTGGAAGCCCCTGCTTTTCATGGACACCTCTTCTGCTTGCTCTGTGAGCATCTGTTTTGTAACATCCTCTCAGGCCCTCTTCCCTTCCAGGAGAGTGCCCCCCACTCCTCTGAAGCTGAGGGAACATGTCCAACCATTCCCAGTGACCCTATGCTGCTCAGAGTTCCCGGCTGATAGAGCTGCTGCCTCTGAAGGTGTTCATTGCTTCCCTGTCACCAGCCAGTCCTCCCCCGTTGCTCTTAATTATGTCCAGAGAAAGAGCTTTGCCACCTTTGTGACAGGCAGAAACCTCATACCCAGATGGTCAGCTTTTAGCGGGGGGAAACAGGAACCATTAGCCAGACCCACTCAAAGGGCTGAACTCAGGCCCGCAGCCCCCACATACTTCGAATTGCTCAGCCCTTTGTGGAACCCATGTGCCTGGCATGGCCTGTGTTGCAGGGGTCCCGGCACCCCGGCCTGGAGACAGACTCATTTAAAGACAACCAGGAGCTCTCTTACTCCCTCATCATTTACTGTGGGCTCCAGTCCGCCCCTCCCCTCCCACCATTTCCCATTTAGAGTTTTTTCTCCCAAACCCAGGGGGGCAAGGGGACCTGTGCACTTTCTCCTGAGTCTCTTCACATCCCCTTGCGACCCAAGTCAGCTGTTGGTTCCCTCCTGGCTGTCCCCTTTGGTCTCAGCTCGCCTCTCTAGTTACGAGCCTTTCCTGTTCCTTCCCTTTAGCATTTGTCAAGAGCCTCACTCTGTCCCGAACTGTGGTCTCTTGAACACCTCCCCCCCAGCTTGTGTTGCCCCTGACTCCTGCGTTCACTCAGGCGAGGTGTCCTCATTGGGAAGATGCCCCCTCCCTCTTCTCCCATAGCTGGTGCAAGGCCTTTAAGCTTCATGGAGCAGCAGCAGTCACCAGCTTACGTGGAAGCCCCTGCTTTTCATGGACACCTCTTCTGCTTGCTCTGTGAGCATCTGTTTTGTAACATCCTCTCAGGCCCTCTTCCCTTCCAGGAGAGTGCCCCCCACTCCTCTGAAGCTGAGGGAACGTGTCCAACCATCCCCAGTGACCCTATGCCGCTCAGAGTTCCCGGCTGATAGAGCTGCTGCCTCTCAAGGTGTTCATTGCTTCCCTGTCACCAGCCAGTCCTCCCCCGTTGCTCTTAATTATGTCCAGAGAAAGAGCTTTGCCACCTTTGTGACAGGCAGAAACCTCATACCCAGATGGTCAGCTTTTAGCGGGGGGAAACAGGAACCATTAGCCAGACCCACTCAAAGGGCTGAACCCCACACCCCTCCTCTTCCTGTGGGCCAGAGTGTAGCTCTCTCGAGGCACCCTGAGCATGCTGACCTGTCCCTCCAGGCTATGAGACAAGATTCCCATGCAAGTATAGGCCATCTTGGGGCTTCCCAGGTAGCTGAAGAGTAAAAACTCTGCCTGCCAATGTGGGAGATGCAATAGACTTGGGTTCAATCCCTGGGTTGGGAAGATCCCCTGGAGTGGGATATGGCAACCAACTCCAGTATTCTTGCCTGGAAAATCCCATGCACAGAGGAGCCTGATAGGCTACAGTCCATGGGGGCAGAGTCAGACACGACTGAGCACCATCACCCACATAATAACAGATCATCTTGATGTTGCCAGCCGGGGTTGGTGCCTCCTCCAAGGTCATTCCCGGTGCCACTGTCCCCTGCCCACATGCCCTTAATCCTTATTATTTGCCTCAATCAGGCACTGGGCTGCCAGAAGAGGCAGGGTTTCCTCTAGCTCAAGGGGGAATAGAACCAATGGCAGTTCAGGCTGTTCCCTTCTAGCCAATGATGACCTAGGCACGGGTAATCAGAAGAGAGGGGAGATCAGCTGGGAGTCTCTGGGGAAGGTCCTCCTGCTTCTAAAATGATCTTTGGGGGCCTTCCTTGTGGTCTGATGGTTGAGAATCTGCCTTGTAATGCAGGGGACACCGGTTCAATCCCTGGTCTGGGAAGATCCCACAAGACACAGGGCAATTAAACCCGTGTGCCACAACTCCTGAAGCCTACATGCCTAGAGCCTGTGCTCCGCAACAAGAGAAGCCACCACAATGAGAAGCCCGCACAGTGCGATCAGAGTAGCCCTGACTCGCTACAACCAGAGAAAGCCCTTGCAGCAACCAAGACCCAGCAGTCAAAAATAATTAAATAATTTTTTTAAATCAAGCTTTAAAAAAGAAATGATCCATATACTCACAGCCCTGAAATGAAGGCAGCTGTGCTGGGGTGTGGGTGGGAGGATGTGCCAATAGAACCAAAATACGGAAGGCACCCAGGTCCTGATGTCCTTGAGTATATGAATTCCCCAACCCCGGAGCCTCCCTGCTACTTGTTCTGATAAAACTTTTCCTTGCTGTTTAAGCTATTTTGAACTGGAGTTTCTATTATTTGTGGCTAAAACTACTCAGACTGCCCCAAGTGAGGCCAAAATTGCTACCTTGATGTTCTCATCAACAGCATCCCCATCATGAGTAGCAGCTCCCCAAAGCTTGGTGGCAGCCACAAAGTTATGCTTCCCGCCAAAGCAGCAGAATGCAGCATTAGGACAGCAGCATTTGTACCTGGCAAATCACTTTAAGCCCGGCTCTGCCACTTCCTAACTGTGCGACTTTTGGCAGGTATCTGTCTGGATCTTCATGTTCTCACCCGCTAAGCAAGAATAACAGACCCTACAGCATTGGAATCAGGTTGAGATACTGTACACAGAGCCCAAGACCCAGTGCCTGCTCTCAGGACGCAGGTGATAAATGGTAGCTGGTATTATTACTATATCATTAGTATATTAATATTTCAAGTCTGCATTGTATATTTCCATTTGGATTGGGCCTGATCACTAGCAAATTCATTCATTCATCCATCCACTCATTCACCTAGCCAACAAATATTTACTGAGTGCCTGCATGTGCCGAGAACTGTTCTAGGTGCCGTAGGCATGTAGCAGTGACAAAGTGGTTAATGCACGTATGAAGATATAAAGTTGTTCTGAGCATTAAATAAGATACACATGCTTAAAATTGGTACAGAAAAGGAGTGTTATTTTCTATTTTTCCTCGCATTCCCCAAATCTGATTTCTACTCTGCGGCCAGGTTGGTCGACCCCGCCATCCCTTGGCTGACTGGCTTCTTGTTGAGTTTGGCCAGTGGGGGTTAGGACGGGGTGGGGGGAGAGAGGGGGTAAAGTTTCTCCTCTACTCCCTCCCGACTCGGTGTGTGTTGCAGACATGCTGTGCCCTCTGTAAATATAGCGCCTACTGTTTAGCTCTCACAGGACTCCCTAAGCTCCCAGGTCCCTCTCCCCAAGGAGGTCCAGCTTCCAGCTCTCACTGGTCCCTGAGTGCCTGAACATCTCCTGTTGTTCACTTCATTACAGCCTCATCACTGGAGTCATCCAAGGAGATACACTAAGTATTCAGCAGATTGCTTAGCCCAAGTAGAAGAGGGTGTGTTCAGTTTTCATGCTCGCACCAAGCCCTTGATCCTTGTCCCCTGGGAATCTGGTTCTTATCTCACCCCTGAATCTTTTTTTTTTTTTTAATGTAGCTATTTATTTATTTTAGACAGCACTGGGTCTTTGTTGCAGCACACTAGCTTTCTCCAGTTGCAGCGAGTGAGGGCTACTCTCTAGTTGCGGTGCTAGGATTTCTCATTGAGGTGGTCTCTCTTGTCGTGGAACACAGGCTCTAGAGGGCAAGCTCAGCAGTTGTGGAGCATGGGCTCAGTCGCCCTGAGGCATGTGGAATCTTCCTGGACCAGGGATCAAACCTATGTCCCCTGCATCGGCAGGCAGATTCTTAACCACTGGACCATCAGGAAAGTCCATCCCACTCCCTTGAGCACAACATCCAAGCGCTTTTCCTCAATCATTTCCCCTGATTTCCCTGTAATACCAGGCACAGTTGTACCCCTTTCTCCACTCTTCTACCCCAATTTCTGTGTCTCATCCTGGCGCTTCTATTCCTCTCCCTTTCATCACTGCCAAGGCAGCTTGGAGCTCCTAGTGCTAGAACCAAGAAGTGAGGGAGAGGCCTCTGCCCAGCCCCCGGCCCTGCCAAAGGGACAATGCAGTCGAGACCAGTGGTGACTCCTCTTTGGAGAGCACGCTGTGGCTTTCGAAGCTATTTTCCACACCCAGTATTACAGGAGCTCAGAAGCCTGCCCCTGGGTTCTTGTCCCCATTGTACAGACGAGGAAAGAGCCTGCAGAAGGCAGAGGACTTTGACCAGGGTCACAAACAGAGCTGGGAGAAGCGGTGCCCCAGCTGGAGGACAGAAGGCCAGGTGATGCAGGGCAGCTGGAACGAATGGAGTTGAAGCGTCAGGGCAGCCAGTGAGGGAGTTTTGATTTTTTTTTAAATCCAGCTGGGGCTGCAGGGCACAGGTGGTAAGCTGGGGCAGTGATACAACCCAATCTGCATTTTAAAATAGCCCTCCCCACCCCGCAGGTCTGGGAGGATAGGAGAGAGGTCACAGAATTCACAGGGAAACCTCAGGAAGGCTTGCACTGGGGTACTGCCACATTGGGTGATTTGTTTCCCTGCCTCTTTATGATGTCTCTTTACTAAAACATCTCTACAAGAAACATGTAATACTTCATTAGAGAGAAGATGCCTTTTTTTTTTTTTTTTAAAGAAAAAGCATTTACTAGAGAAGTGAAAGGGAGAGAGAGCCAGACCAGTCATGTGGTCTGGACCACCGCATCCCTGAGGGAGGGGGTAGCTCAGGAGAGCCCCCCATGGGGCATGGGTGGATGCCTGGGGCAGGTGACTTTCCTGCGGGGAGAACAAGGGGGCAGGCCAGAAGAGATGGCGGGTGGTGCCCAAGGAGAGGAGTGTGTGGTGTGAGAAGCTGAGGAGGAAGTTGGGCACAGAGGAGCGAAGAGGTGGGCATGGGAGAGTCTCCCAGAAAGGAGCCAGGAGGCGGGTGAGGGCTGGCAAGGGAGGGGGGGGTGCCAAGGAGAGGAGGGTCCCATGGCCCCCAGTGTGTGGGGGCAGACTGTATACCCAGCATGCTGCAGAGAGGTGAGCAGACTGCAGGGCGGTAAAGAGGCCTCTGGAGACCTAGCCGAGCCCAGGCGTGAAGCTCAGAGTGGCCTGGGCCGAGGAATGAATGGAGGAGAGGCGATGGAAGTGACTGGAGGGGCAGGAAAGAGGGCAGCAGGCAGAGGAGCTGGGTGCCGGGGGAGTTGGGAGCCAGGGGGAGAGATGGGGAACCTACTTACAGAGGAAGGAGACGCCCGCTGAAGAGATGAGGCAAATGTGTGCCAGGGTAGAGGGGTGGCAGGGGTGGAGGGTGAGAGACAGAGGTGTCAGACAGTCTGGATTTGAAACCCCCTCCACCACTTGTCAGCCATATGACCTTTCCTACTTAACAGAGGAAGGAGACGCCCGCTGAAGAGATGAGGCAAATGTGTGCCAGGGTAGAGGGGTGGCAGGGGTGGAGGGTGAGAGACAGAGGTGTCAGACAGTCTGGATTTGAAACCCCCTCCACCACTTGTCAGCCATATGACCTTTGGTAAAGCCTCAGTTTCCTCATCTGTCAAATGGGGGTAATAAGGCCCTTCCTCAGAGTGGGGAGTGTGCAGTGGGTTAATGTGTGTCTGGCAGAATGTCAGCTGCCATTCTAGACCCTGAGGAGAGACCAGCCTGCACAGGACAAGGGAACTCATACACGGTGGTGACATGAAAAAGAGCTGGGTGTGTCTGGGGACCTGTGAGGAAGACAGCAGGCCAGCAGGGAGCTAGTGGAGGCCTGGCTGACCCGTCTCCACTGGACTCTGAGAGAACCAGCAGGCCTGTGTGCCCAAGGCGGAGCAGAGCCGTGCAGGGGGAAGAACTTTGAGATTTTGGGGTCCCAGTCCTGGCTCTGATGCCGCCTTGCTGTGGGCCCTTGGGAAGTTCCCTTCCTTTTCTGAGCTGTCCCCTGCTCTGTCAAGGAGGTGACTGGATTTACCCATCTCTAACCTCCTGCCTCTGAGCCTAGACCCTTCTCCAAGTCATAGCATCTGGACATTTCCTTCCCCCAACCCCTGCTAGCACTTAGAATACAGGAGATGCTTGGAAATTCTGAACCACATGAGTGAACTAAAGGTCTGACATCTAGACCACCCTGCATCTTCTGATCAGGCCACAGGTGGGCCATGGGTGAGGCTGTCACCTCTACATACCATCCTTTAATCTCAAAGAGGGTACAGCACCCTCACCACTTCTATGCATCCCGCTACAACCCAAACACAAGACTGAAAAGGAGATGCAAGACTGGTTTCTCCCTCAGTTGGGAGGTGGCCTAAAGAGCCAGGAGGGAGGCCGAGTTGAGAGAAGAGGGCCAAGGAGCAGGTGGGACCTGAGGGCGGAGGGCAGGAGGCAGAGGAGGGGGAAGAGTGGCCGGAAGACCAGGAGTAAAGGCCCCTCCCACGCCCCAGGGCACCGGCCTCAGAAGGGCCCAGGCATTGGGGTCTGCTCACTCCGCCTTGTCCAGGAGCAGCAGGGGACATGGCCCTCTCTGGCCCTGAGTGAGGGGCCTTCTGCGAGAGGAGTGATCAGTGATCTGGCTATGTTCTCAACCAGATCCTGAGCACCGGTACTGGAGAGAGGAAGCAGAAAATGGTTTGAGGGACCGGTGGGGTAGTCCTGGCCGGGAGGACCTCCCTCGACAGCCGCAAGAGGATGGTCACAGGAATACCGGCAGGAGACAGCCAGCACCCAGCTGGAGCGCACAGCACCGCCGGGGGCTGGAGGTGAGGTGGGGAGTGGGGTCTGCGTGGGCCGCGGCCCTGCCCCCTGGTGCCTAGGCCTACCTGCTGCTGGGCCTGGATCCTCATGTACTCGGCCCTCTGCTTGCCATGTTTGCTTTTGTCGGGGCTGCCTGCCTGGCCCTGGGCCGCCTTCAGCCGAGAGGCCCCTGGAGTCACCACCTTCATGGGGGGCACGCTGCCACTGCCGCTCTGCACGAAGAGGAACAGAGTCAGAGTTGGAGATGGGATCACACAGGCGCCCTAGGTACAGTAGGCCCTCTGAGACCTGGAGAGCCCTCCCCAGAGCTTCATACCCCCATCCAGGACTCAGGCCCACTCTCTGAGGCCAGGGTTAAGGCTTCCCCGCAGGGGAGGGGACAGAACCCCAGCCAGATTCCCAGAAACTCCCAAGTGAGAGCTCTTTGGTGGTTTCCTTAGGTGGCCCAGGGGCAGCTGGTGCCCTTCTAGGGGGACCGTTTTTAAAGGGAGGGTCCCTGGCATCATCCTCACTCCTGGCAAGGGGCTCCATCCTGGGTCCTGGAGAACACACCCGAGATTTGGGAGAGGGGTCTTTATGAAAGTAAAAGTTGCTCAGTTTTGTCCAACTCTTTGCGACCCCAAGGACTATACTGTCCATGGAATTCCCCAGGCCAGAATACTGGAGTGGGTAGCCTTTCCCATCTCCAGGGGATCTTCCCAACCCAGGGATTGAGCCCAGGTTTCCTGCCTTGCAGGTGGATTCTTTACCAGCTGAGCCACAAGGGAAGCCCAAGAACACAGGAGTGGGTAGCCTATCCCTTCGCCAGCGGATCTTCCCGGCCAAGGAATCGAACCCGGGTCTCCTGCGTTGCAGGCAGATTCTTTACCAACTGCGCTATCAGGGAAGCCCAGCGGTCTTTATAATTGCCACCAAAGTAGGATTGGCAGCCCCAGGCCCACACTTTCCTTTGAATGGGAGGATAGGGGCGAAGTTTCCCTAGAGACGGACAAGTCCAGCCCCCTTGAACAACTCCAGGGACCAGGCCTGCCCAGAAGGGCTTTGGGGATCCAGAAGCGCAGGCAGAGAAACCACAGAGACAGAGAAAGTCAGACAGGAGAGGAGAAGGGGAGTGTAGGGATGGAAAAGGGGGAAAGAACTTTATTTGTTGGTTTACAGATACAGAACAAAGGGGAGAGGCCCTGGTCCCCACCAGGGCTGGTTAGGCTGATCCCTGGGCAGGCCAGCTTCCCAGCCTGCCAGGGGCTTTGCCTGCAAACCCAGCCTGGCACCAGGCTCCCAGGAGGGTGGCGGGGCTGAGAGAGGCCAGTAGGCAGAGGGGAGCTGGCATGGTGCTCCTGCAGACCCCGACTCCCTCCAGCTCTGAAGACAGAGAGACTGGAGCAGGAAGACAAGTGGAGAGGATGAAGTGGCAGGCAGCCACCTGGGGGCCAGGGGGCAGAGGTGGGGGGCTGCCAGGGGGCCCCGTGGCAGAGGCCATGCCCATCTGGCTCAGAGTGGCTTCCAGCTCCCGGAGTGTCTCCTCCAGGCTGTCCATCCGCTGGGTGATGGCAGCACGCTGAGCCTTGTGCTCCCCACTGCAGGGTGGGGTGTGGTGCCCAGAGTCTTTGTGGGTCTCCTCTGGGGAGGTCTCCGCAGTGGAGGGTTCTTGGGTCCGCTCTAGGGCAGGTCCCCAAGGACTGGGGATCCCAGCTCCTCCCCTTTCTGGGCTGCAGTCCCCTGTCACCAGTGTCTTCAGGGCCGCCCCTTCCTTCTCTAGCATCGGGCTGTTCCAGGCCTGGGAAGCCGCAGCCACCACCCCTGGTGGGGCTGGTGGATTATCCTGGCCCAGGAGGCCGCTGGCCAGGGTCCGGGGTCGTGGGGTGGGGGTTGTTCCAAGACCAGGTTCCTCAAGCCTGGTCTCTGGTGGGGAGGGAGGGTGGGGGGCACATTCCGTCAAGATGATCCGGGGGACAGAGAAGGGCCTCGGGCCTGCGGCAGCCTGAAGGAAGAAGAGAGATGAGGGAGGGTGTGATCCCTGTAACCAAACACCCCCGAGCTGGGAGGGGGGTGCATGTGGGTGAGCCCAGTCCCTTCCTGTTGCAATGGGGAAACTGAGGCAGGGGAAGGTCCCAACTGAGTTCACCCAGCAAGTTAGAGGCAATGCTGGACTAGAACTCAGGCCTCTTTTCACCACACTCTATCGTCTCCACCTCCTGGCAAAGATGCCAATTTACTTAGAAGCACAGATGCGTGCGTGCTAAGTCACTTCAGTTGTGTCCGACTCTTTGTGACCCTATGGACTGGGAGCCTGCTAGGCTCCTTTGTCCATGAGGATTCTCCAGGCAAGAATACTGGAGTGGGTTGCCATGCCGTCCTCCAGGGGATCTTCCCAACCCAGAGACTGACCCCGAGCTTCTGACGTTTCCTGCATTGGTAGGTGGGTTCTTCACCACTAGGACCACCTGGGAAGTCCCACTATACATGTTTATTTCTCATCAGCCATGTTAAGTTCTGGGAGCAGGTCTCATGGTTACTGCCAGGAGTTTGCCTGTCTGTGCAATGGGGTAACAATAACACAAGGCTGGTGGAGGATGAAGTGAGCTCACGTCGGCATGTGCTCGAACAGTGCCTGGCACGGTGTAAGTGTTTGATAGATGTTAGCTATTCGTAACATAGAACTGAATGTCCGAGACCCGCAGCCCCATGGGGGTGGAGACCAGGTGTTGGCCTCTGGCCTCAGAGCATGGGTCTGACATCCTCATCTTAGACAAGATTCCTCATGCCCACCCCCTACTTCTGAGCTTTCTCTGAGGGCTTCACAGCCACAGTGGGCAGGGCTTGGCCAAGTCCTCCGCTGTACCAGCTTGGGCAGAGCTAGAGCACCCGCCTCTGGGTGAGCACCCCTGGCTCTGGCTTTTATGGGGGCACAGAGAGAGGCCCCCAGTCACCCCTACCCCAGTCTGGCCTAGCACAGCGCTGCCACACCACTCACCCCCAGACAGCTCCTTGGACTGCTCTGTGCCCATCCTCTGACCAGCAGACAGCCTGTCTACCTGTTCACTGCCCATCTGCTCCCCCGGCCAGGGAGCCAAAGCACTACCAGGCCTCAAGCCAGGCTAGAGATCAGGTGGCAGCCAGCAGTGTGGGCCCAGAGAGCCAGACAAGACAGGTGACCACGTGTGTGCCTCCCCAGACCAGAGACCCTCCTGCTCCAACCTGACTGGGCAGAGGGAGAGATGCTTAGACCACTGCCCCCCGACTCCCCCTCCCCAAGCACAGTCCCCTGGGGAGCAGACAGCAGGTCACCCACAAATTCCCAAGAAAGAATAAAAAGGAAATAAGTGCAGCAGGACAGCAGCAAGGACTGAAGTTAGAGTGAAGGTAGAACTTCCCAATGCTGAAAGACGGAACCAGCAGCCAAGGAAGTGCATGGACTTCTTCCATCCCAAGCTCTCTGACCAGGTGGGGCCATGGGTTGGGGAGAGAGGCTGTAAAGGAGCCTTCCTCCTGGGTGTCCTGGCCCCCAGCACAAGGCATAGATTCTAGGCAGAGAAACAGAGCCCCCGTCTGGCACAGGCAGCCGAGTGGGGAGATGGGGGCAGGGACTAGGCAAGGCTTCAAGACAAAGTCAGGTTTTGAGCTGGGCCTAAAGTCATGTAACAAGCAAGATCCAAACTCCAATCTTGGACCCAGACAGAACCTGGGCTTCGAGCCAGACCTAAAACTCTAGTTCTAGATCAGAATAAAGTACCCAAGCCACCAGGGGCCAGGCGCGGAATCAAAGCCTGTAAGGAAATGCAGACCCAAGGGGCCACCAGATGCCAGGCTGCTGGAGTCTCGAGAGGGAAGGAAGGGTGATGCTCCTGTCCTTGGAGCGGGGAGGGGTGGTCCACGGGGTGAGGTTGTGGCAGTGGCGGGACTCGGGCACATGACACGTTCTGGTGGGTTAGCGTGAGAAGTGAGGAGAGGAAGCGTGGAGGCACAGGCAGAGAGAGCGCTGTGAGAGGTGGGGGGCAGCCCGTTACCTTCCATGGAGGGCCTGGGGCTGAGCCCCTGGGGGGCCCCAGGTCCAGGGGGGACAGCAAGGTGGGGATCGGCTGGCGGCGGGGCGTGGGGGGGAGGGGAGACACTGAGCTTCTCTCAAACACCTGGGGAGCAGAAGGTGGGGGCAGGTTTGGAGGAGGGGGCACGGGGACCGTAGCCTCACTCATTGGCCCCTCATCGTGGCCACCGGTCACTCTGCCCTGCGATTTGTCTCTTCCCAGAGGCCCTGGTGGTGCAGATCTCCAGCCTCTCGGGGAGGGGCGCTGAGAACACTCGAGTCTGGGGGACTTACAGCACTGGGAGGGGCTCAAGGCACATGGATGGAGGTTGTTAGAGCTTCCTTCTCAGAATACTAGGGGGTGGGGTTGCAGAGCAGAGGAGGTGTCAGGGCAGTAGGGGTCTCAGAGATTGCAACGAAAAACTCAAACATGCAGGGAGGGGTTTACACTCCCTCCCCCATTGTACAATGGAGAAGAAACTGGGGCAAAAAGGACAGAATCCGGAACCAGCCTCAGGGGGGAGCCAGGAATCCAGCCCCTCATCCTAGCCTGGGCACCCCACCCTGAGATCCACATGGTGGGGAAAGGGGGGTGCCTGGCTGATGACCTGGGGACCCCTGACCCACCTCCAGCTCTGCGATGATGCGGTCCTCATCGTCCTCATCCTTGATGGCAGAGGCCATGATTGGGGGTGTGGAGGCGGGGCGGGCCACCTCGGACACAGTCCGGCGCAGCTTCACCTGGGGCTTCTGCACCTCCAGCTCCTCGGACTCAGCCTTCTGCAAGGCCCAGGCCTCATTAGACCAGGCTCTGTCTGCCTCCAGCCAGCTCACCTCTTTCCCCTCCTCCTCCTCTCCTCCCCCCCATGCAATCCAGCCCCAAGCCCTGTCACTCCTTCGCTTACAGCACTCTCATCCCTTCTACTCAAAGCCTGGTCCGGGGACTGGCAGCACCTGGGAGCTTGTTGGAAATGCAGAAGCTCAGGCCCCACCCCGAGCTGCTGAGTCAGAATCCACGTGCCAGCAGGTCCTGGGTGATTTCACGTGCACATTCAAGTTTGAGAATCGCTATTCTAATCCACCACTTTCCCACCCACCCCTCAGCTCTGTCCTGGCACAGATCTTCATCCTTCCTCCATCGAGAGAGAGAGAGTAGTTAGTACTATTGCAAGAGTCTGACCCTGCCCACCAGGCTCTCCCTGCCCCCAGTTCTTCCTTGGGGTGGGGGCTATTTCCTGGGCAACCTGCAGAAAAGTCACTCAAGCCTGACATTCCTCGCCCTTTGATCCCCCAGTGAGTCCCCACAACCCCAAACCTCCGTGCCTGCCAACCTTTCAGGTTCAGCTCTGCTTGCTACTCTCGGGCCTGGACCCAGCTGGGCAACACCAAACACATATTTCCAGGCATTGGTACATGATGTTTCTCCCTGGAATGCCCTCTCTCACTGGCCAGAGAAATGCAAGACTCCAGTGAAAAGTCACCTCCCATGAGAAGGACTTCCTGCCCTCTCAGGGTCTCCTGTAGAACACCATTTAGCACCTGCCTCCTATTTCTGGTTTACACGCTGGGTATGGCCTGGGACAGATTACTTAACCACATTGAGCCTTAGTGTCCTCACCTGTAAAATGGGAATAATTACTGTATCCACCTCCTGGACTGGTTGCAAAATTATATGAATTAATATACAGAAAGCATTTGGGGTTGTTTTTTGCTGCACAGTAAGTGCCTGATAAACACAGATGTTAGTATTATTCTCCTACTACACTTTAAGCTCCTCGAAAGTAGTCATATCCTTATCCCCAGCACCTAGCACACGTGTGCATGCATACTAAGTCACTTCAATCGTGTCTGACTCTTCGCAACCCTATGGACTGTAGCCAGCCAAGCTCCTCTATCCATGGGATTCTCCAGGTAAGAATACTGGAGTAGGTGGCCATGCCCTTCTCCAGGGGATCTTCTCGACCCAGGGGTTGAACCTGCATCTCTTATGTCTTCTGCATTGGCAGGCGGGTTCTTTACCACTAGCGCCACCTGGAAAGCCCTAGCACATAGTGGGCACTTAACAAATATACAGGTGGCAAGGATGAATAAATGAATGAGTGACAACTGCCGTTTCCTATTCGGGTTTCTGCTTCCCCTGTGAGCTCACAGGCTTGGGGAGCACAGGACCCATGTCTGCATCACTCAATGCTGCACCCCATCTCAGCACAGCCTGGCTCCTGGCACACAAGCTTGGACAAAACGTGCAGGAGGACGACCCTCTGTCTGAGCTTTCTCATCCTCCCAGCATGGTCCTCTCAGCAGCCGTGGGAAAATCCCTGGATGCAGTCCAGGACTATCCCATCTGTCTCGGGTCTCCCCTGAGTGGCCAAGGGTCAGGCCAGCACCCCACCTCCTCTAATAGCCCACCCACAAAGATTTTCACTCCCGAGCACCTCCCTCATCAACCTGAGAGTTCCTGAGGCTGGGGCTCCCCTCCTCTGGGCTCTTTGCAACCCCCTACCTGCCCCATACCTGAACCTCTCCTCCCACTGGGCTCCGTTCGGGGGGCTGCCTTCTGGCCGTGGGGGGTCTTGGGGGGCTTGTGGTCCGGGGTGGGGGCTGGGCCCGGGTGGGCCTTGCTCGCACAGTCTAGGTCAGGGATGGCCTTCAGCAGCTCCGCCTGTGTCTCCTCCAGCAGCCGGTTGATGTCCTTGGCGCTGTACTGGGTCAGGGCTGCCCGCTTCTCCTCCCAGTCCCGCTCGGCAGCCTTGAGAGGAGGGCCAACAGTCAGCACTGAAGCAGCTGCCCTGCTCCTGGACTTCTGGGGCCTCAGCCACACATGCAAGGAATGCAAAGGAAGCCTCCCATTTGATCCGAGCCTCGGGCTTCTCTTGAGTATTACATGCCTTTGCTGCGAGCCTGGAATGCCACCTTCATAACCAAGTACTCTCAGGAGAAATTTAGACCTGCTTTTAGGCATTCTATTCTATTTCATTGAGCACATAATTTTTTCTTGTGCTAACCCCACACTGCCTTGATTATCACAGGTTTATGATATGTTTTCCTGCCTAGCAGGACTGATGTCACCCTCAGTACACTTCTCAGATTCCCTTGTCCCCAAGGAACAAGTCCCTACGTGTCAGCACTGGCCAACATAGGTCGGTGGTGAGAATGTGCGAGCCTAGCTCCGGCCCCCCCATCCCGGGCCCAGCACCTCAACAGACACAGCCTTGTCCACGCTTCTCTTGCCAGGAGCGTCCAGGCCTTTGGTGGGGTTGCCCGCCTTGGGGGCTGGAGGGGCCCCCTCGGTTGGCCCACTCAGCTCGTGGAGGTTCAGCGGAGGGCTAGGGGGTGGCATTTCGAAGTCTAAGCTCTTGTTGAAGTCCGTCTCGGCTGTCATCTTCTTGGGGGACTGACTCAGGAGGTTGCTGGGGGGTGGCCACACACCCTCGTCCACTTGCCTGGGGTGGGAGAGTTGGGGGCAGCTGTGAGGTCAGCAGAGTCGTGGCTCCCTGGGAGGGAAGCCTAGCTTGGGGAAGGCGGGGTGTGAGGGGGGCTCTGGGATCTTGCAGGACAGATGGAAGGGCCTGGGGAGGGGTGACTGCATCTGGGAAATGGGAGCGCCAAGCCTGCAACATGCAAGGGGTCACAGGTCAAAGTGCTGGGTCACAGCCAGTCAGCACACTGCTGACCTCTGCAGGGAGTCAAAATAAGGGATCTGGGCCCGGTGTGTGACCCCATGGGAAATCGCAGGTCAGAGATAGGAGGTCAGGGATAGAATGACCTTCGGATCTGGGCCAGGGTGTCCGTGACCCCCCGGCACCGCTTGAGTAGCCCATCCAGGCGCTGGGGCTCCTCCTTCAGGAACTTCACCGCCTCCACCTCCACACGCAGCACTACCCGCATCTTGCTCTGCAGGCCTGGGAAGTGAGCTGAGGCGAAGGGAAGGAGTGAGCAGGAGGAGGGAGCAGCTCTGGACAGCGGGGAGGACAGGCAGTGGGGTGGGGGTGCAATGCCTTGGGTGGGGCTGGGGGGTGCCCCGAGGCTCACCCTTGAGTTCGGTCAGCGTCTCCCCGAGCTGCTTCAGCACCAGCGCCTTCTCTTCCAGCTCAGGCCCGGGCACCAGTCGGTGGTTGTGGGACACATCCCTCTGGATCTTCTCCACCGACTTCTCCAGGTCACTGCAGTCACAGAAAGACCCTTTCAGCCCCTCTGGCCCCAGCCCAGCCCCCTGAAACTGAACAGCTGGGAACAAATCAGGCCACTGGTCAGATCAAAATTAAAAGCCATCCACCAGGCTACAAGCCCAAGTGAAATCAGAAAGTCAGACCTCAGAGATGAGACTTCAGAAGCACTCCATAACAGGTGCCCCAGGTCCCCGTGTTGAAGTTCTCATCTTTAGCAGGATCAGCCAGAATCTCCCTCCCTAGGACTCACATCTTCTGATTCTCATTAGCCAAGGACACAGCAGAGAAATTGGCAGCTTTTCAAAGAACTGGAGGCAGGTGTGTGTGCCCCTAAGCGCCTCTTCTTTTTTCGGGGAAGCGTCCACCTTTTCTCAAATGATCCAGACACTCAGCCTCTTTCCTCAATGACAAAGCTGCTTCCTATTTTCAGATGGCTTATGCTGAGCTTGTGTCATTTTAACACCCTACATCTTTCTGAAATGTAAATCAGACCAAGTCACCACCGCCTGTGTTGAACCGGAAATGGATCCCGACATTCTGAGGCTAAAATCCAAACTCTTCAAGTGCAGCCACAAAAGGCATGAGGGTAGTAGCTGAAAACTTGGGTCTGGAGTCAGACAGATTCACATTCCAACCCGCACTCTGCCTGACCCAGAAGAGATCTTGGAGAAGTTACCAACTGTCTCCAGATCTCAGTTTCCTTATCCCCAGAAAATGCGGATGGTAAGAGTTCCTCCCTCCTGGGGCCACTATGAGGATTAAATGAGCTGAAAAGCAATTAAATGAGCTAATGCATGGGGTCAGTCCCTGGGGGCTGCTCTTAGTTCCTCTCTAGCCACATCCACTTCCTCTCCATCTGGTTTGCTTCTGTTTCAAACCATCCAGAATTTCTCTGAGGTCCTTGTATGTGCTGCTCTCCCTGTTGGTTGTTCTTGTTTGCCACACTAGGTCTCCACTGCGGCACGCAGGCTTAGTTGCCTTGACCAAGGATCAAACCCAGGCACCCTGCATTGGGAGCGTGGACCTTATCCACTGGACCACCAGGAAAGTCCTTCTCCCTGGGCTTCTATAATGCCATTTCCTCTGCCCAGAACATCCCATTACCACCATCTCCCCACCCCCCCACGCACATGTGTAACTAACTCCCACTCATCCCCAGGTCCCAGTGGGAAACTCTCCCTTTACACTTGGTGTTCGGGGTCTGCTTCCTGCCTGGAGCTCCTGTTTGCTGGGCTAAGCAGCTCTAGGGAGAAAATAAGGTACCCTGTCTTTCTGATTCATCTCTGATTCCCAGCACCTGGCATGGTGCCTGGAGCAGAACAGAGGTCTGGTAAGTAATTATGGAAGGAATGAATAAGTGAAAGAAGGCGCTACTGCCCAGGTAGGTCATCCCAGTTCTGCACCTGAGTCACTCATATCCCTGACCCACATGCAGGACGTCACATATATTCCTGTCAAATCCCATCTGTTGGATTTCAGCTCAACAATCCAGGGAGGAACAACTTTTGAATCTCAGTTCTACCATCCAACAGATTTGCTCCCCCTCAAAGCTCTGTGTCATCAGCAAAACTTATCAGCATGCTTTATATATCTTCATCCAACTAGTGGGCGAAAAAACAGACCACACTGGAGCCAAGGCCAAAATTCTGTGAGTCAGCACTACCAGTTAAAGAGGTATCTTGTACTAAGTGCCTACAGCGTGCCAGGTGCACATTCAGCCCCTCACTTTATCCTCACAACAAATCCTGGGAGTGGGAACCATTATTATCTCCAGTTTACATACAAATAGTAGCTCAGAGTAAGAAATAGAGGAAAACAATAGAATGGGAAAGACTAGAGATCTCTTCAAGAAAACTGGAGATACCAAAGGAAATACCAATGGAATCATGCAAAGATGGACACAATAAAAGACAGATACAGCAAAGACCTAACAGAAGTAAAAGAGATTAACAAGAGGTGGCAAGAATACACAGAAGAATTATACATAAAAGGTTTAATGACCCAGATAACCATGATGGTGTGGTCACTCACCTAGAGCCAGACACCCTGGAGTGCAAAGTCAAGTGGGTCTTAGGAAGCATTACTATGAACAAAGCTAGTGGAACAAATAGCTCCAGCTGAGCTATTTCAAATTCTAAAAGATGATGCTGTTAAAGTGCTGCACTCAATATGCCAGCAAATTTGGAAAACTCAGCAATGGCCACAGGACTGGGAAAGGTCAGTTTTCATTCTAATTCCAGAGAAAGACAATGCCAAAGAATGTTCAAACTGCTGTATGATTAAGCTCATTTCACATGCTAGCAAAGTTATGCTCAAAATCCTTCATGCTAGACTTCAACAGTACACGAACTGAGAACTTCCAGGTAAAAGGTAGAGGAACCAGAGATCAAACTGCCAACATCCACTGCATCATAGAAAAAGCAAGGGAATTTAAAAAAAAATCTACTTCTGCTTCATTAACTACACTAAAGCCTTTGATTGTGTGAATCACAACAAACTGAAGAAAATTCTTAAAGAGATGGGAATACCAGACTACCTTACCTGTCTCCTGAGAAACATGTATGCAGGCCAAGAAGCAACAGTTAGAACTAGACATGGAACAATGGACTGGTTCAAAATTGGGAAAGGAGTATGTCAAGGCTGTATATTGTCACCCCATTTATTTAACTTACAGAGTATATATCATGTAAAATGCTGGGCTGGGTGAATCACAAGCTGGAATCAAGATTTCTGAGAGAAATAACAACAACCTCAGATATGCAGATGATACCACACTAATGGCAGAAAGTGAAGAGCCTCTTGATGAGGGTAAAAGAAGACAGTGAAAAATGAAAGTCACTCAGTCATGTTAGACTCTCTGCAACCCCATGGACTATGCATTCCATAGAATTCTTCAGGGCAGAATACTGGAGTGGGTAGCCTTTCCTTTCTCCAGAGTATCTTCCCAACCCAGGGACCAAATCCAGGCTTTCCACATTGAAGGCGAATTCTTTACCAGCTGAGCTATCAGGGAATCCCTAGATAGAGAATGAAAAAGCTGGCTTAAAACTCAACATTCAAAAAACTAAGATCATGGCACCTGGTCCCATCACTTCATGGCAAATAGATGGAGAAAAAGTGGAAACAGTGACAGACTTTATTTTCTTGGCTCAAAAATCACTGCGGATGGTGACTGCAGCCACAAAATTAAAAGATGCTTGCTCCTTGGAAGAAAAGCTATGACAAACCTAGACAGCATATTTAAAAACAGAGACATTACTTTGCCAATAAAGGTCCGTATAGTCAAAGCTATGGTTTTTCCAGTAGTCACATATGGATGTGAGAGTTGGACCATAAAGAAGGCTGAGCATGGAAGAATTGATGCTTTTGAACTGTGGTGTTGGAGAAGACTCTTGAGAGTCCTTTAGACTGCAAGGAGATCAAACCAGTCAATCCTAAAGGAAATCAATCCTGAATATTCACTGGAAGGACTGATGCTGAAGCTGAAGCTCCAGTCCTTTAGCCACCTGATGCAAAGAGCCTACTCAATGGAAGAGGTCCTGATGCTGAGAAAGATTGAGGGCAGGAGGAGAAGGGGACAACAGAGGATAAGATGGTTGGATGGCATCACCAACTCAATGGACATGAGTTTGAGCAAACTCTGGGAGATAGTAAAAGACAGAGAAACCTGATGTGCTGCACATGGGGTCACAAAGAATCAGATACAACTTAGCAACTAAACAACAACAAGCAGCTCGGATACTAAACTACATTCCCCAGCCTCCTTTGCATGTAGAAGTGCCATTCAAATAAGGTCTAGCCAGTGGAATATGAGTGGTAGTGGTACATGCTGTTTCCAGGTCTGGCTCTCTAGAGTCCTCCTATGTAAGCTCCTCCATACTCATTTCCCCGTCCTGTTGGCTGAAAGACAGTGACCCTGAGGGTAATCTTGGAAGGCACAATCGAAGATGTGCCTTATTGGAAGACACTTATTTCCCTTACCCTGGGCCCCCGAATGACTGCATGCAGGAAAGCCACTAGGCCCCCCCCAGGCTCAATGAGCACCTCAGTCCTCTGATTGTGCAATCTGCCAAAGTTTGGGGGCCGATAACCTGAGCAGGCTCTGCAAGAAAGTCCAAACCAGCGCAAGTCTAGACACTGGGGTCAGAAAGTGGTGGGGTTTTCCAGACCCAGGTTTAGTTCTGAAACAGTTGAGAGGTGAGGATCAGGGCAGAACCACAAAATGTGAGGTGGCGCAAAGCAGAATGAAGATTTTTTTCCCCCTAGTATAAAAATTAAGAATTTCAAGATAATGACAGCAGAGCATTGAGCCAAGGACGGGCCCGCACAAGCATGAGGCCCTGTGTGAGTAACAGGTCACAGCCTGTGAAGCTGGTGCTGGGCTGGGCTGTGTTACACTCTGGAGGTCAAAGGTCTCAGTCAGCGGAGCCTGCCGCTAAGGGCAACATCTAAACAATGTGCTTGGCTGGAGTTAAGGTGAGTAAGCCAAGCTGAGTGAAGCACAGAATCAGCTGTGACTTCCAGCAAGATGCCAGGGCAAAAGGAAGGGGTAGAGTGAAGCCAAGGAAGTGGACAGAGGCTGGTAAGCTAGAGCAGGGGTATGGATGGGCCAGCAGGGCCATCCAATCCCGGGGAGGCTATGGAAACCAGGCAGGGAGGCCCCTCCTGGTCAGACCAAAGCCACTGCAGCACTGATGTGCAGCCCAGTCCAGATTCCACCCAAAAAGTCACCTTCGAAGTAGATGGAGAAGCCTGCCAGAAGCAATGTATCAGCCCCCAAGCTCTCTAAAGTGAGCAGTCAGAGCAATGGGTTTGATAGCAGGGCAACACATAGGGAGACTGGTATTCCTGGAGAACTGAGGCCCCAGGAGGCTGAGGACCAGACACTCATATGACAGGAGCATAAATACGTTCTTTCATCCTTCCTGCCTCCTCTGTACTTTTATACTTCCTTTTATTTTCCTTTAATGTCTCAGTAAAGTTCCCTTTGAAAATTCCAATCCAGTTCCTCTGTGCTGAACAAAAAAGGGGGAAAAGAGGACAGGAAAGTCAGGTAAATGGAATTCCCTGGGTGAGGGGGGATGGTAGCCATCCGTCTACTTGGAGATCTGACGGGAGCTGTCACTCAGCTTTCACACCAGGGGTGATGCAGTTGACTGCCACGCCAGCTTATTTCCAAGTGGGATGGCCCCTTACTTCATCTCGACCACAAGGGGTCATGGGAATCTTGCCCTGTGCGTCACTGAAATGCACATGGATCTACAGGCTGTGTGGGCCTGAGGCTGAGGAGCAGGGATCCTTCTCAAGGAGCCCCTTGCAAGTGATACAGCCAATTATGACTTTGGTGAGGAAGCTGGGCTCCTCTGAGCAGTCTTCCTTAGTTCTGAGTAGTTGACCCGTAGAAGCCAAAGCCCCTTCTGGAAAGAATTGTGAAAAGCTTAACCTTGGGCACAGGTGTCGAAGCTGAAGCACAGAGATGGGCAGAAACTGCTCTGATCACCCAGCTGCTCAGAGCTGGAGCTGGAGCTCGGGCCCCTCTGCCCTGTGCCAAGAGGGAGACCAGGCGGAGGAGCAGGGTCTCTGTCTCAGACTCAGGGACTGACCAGGGAAAGCTGCAGGCGGCTGGGGCTGCTCACTCAGTGGATGGACAGCGGAAGACAGCCTCTCCTTGCAATGGTGCCAGACAATCGAATCTTGGCCAGACAGCTATTTACTAAATTTGGATCAGAGAACTGTCTTCTGTTAACCCTTCCATGTCTAAGTCTTTGGGGGCAGGGTGTTCTCTATTCCCGGAGCCCTGTTTCAGCGGCAGTAGGATGAGAGGAGGGTTCTCCTTGGCTATATCGGGTCTAAGAGTTGGTGGTGAGGGTGGCAACAGTGACCAAGCTGGCCCACCGCAACTCTACTCGAGGATCAGTATGCAAGGATCACAGGCCAGAACGAAAGCAGGCAGAAGACAGAATGAAACCGGGCATCTGGAAACATGAGAGTAAGGCTGCAGGCCACGGGGAAGCCGGACCTTGGACCATTAGGGAGTGAGACCACAGGAAAAGCAGGCATCAAGCCAGAACAAAAGAAAATAGGACTCCTGCCAGATGGTCAAAGGTTTGTGGGTCACAGAGACATCAGACCACAGAGGAGACGAAAATCAGGCTTCGGAACAGACCCACGTCACCTGGGAGTCAGAAAGAAGGGAGTTGCGCCTCCCCGTAATACCAGGTTGCGGGCCACCGAGGCCGCACTCCCAGCCCTCCCCGCAGCCGCTGCGCCCAGCCTCACTTGAGCTGCTGGGTAATGAGCTCCTCGTCGTTGAGGTAGCGCAGCCGCTCCTCCTCCACTAGGGTGCGCTGCCGCTGCAGCGGGTCCTCCTGCCGCCGCGCCGCCTCCGACACGCGCATGCTCAGCTCCGCCTCCGTGCCCTTCAGCAGCGCGCGCAGCGACTCCAGGTTCTGTAGCTGCGGGACGCAGATGGGCCGGTGGACGGGGGTGGGAGGGAATGGAGGCGCGCTGCGGGGAGAGGACTGGGAGGAGGCGGGCAGAGGACAGCCCGACCGCGGGACGAACTCCACAGACGATACTGCTGCTCGGCTGTGGCCGTGAGCAGCAGCGAAAGGGTGGGGCGGGGGTGGGGCACAGGCCGAGGGTTACTTTCTGGGGAAGCGTAGAGGCAAGAGGAGAATGGCTTGGGGATGGTGGAGGGAGGCAGGAGTGCCAAGTTGGGCCGCGCGGAAGGTGCGGCTGCTTGGCTGTGGCAGTTAGCTGCAGCGAAGGGGTCGGGGGAGGAGGACAAGGTTTCTTTCTGGGGAAATATCTTAGAGGCTGGAGAACGGGGTAGGGGATATTTGGGGGCAAGAGATGACCCTACCAGGGCCCTGCCCACCTTGGGGCTGCATGGCTGTGGCTTCGATGAAGGACTCAAGCACTGTGGTTTGACAGTTTCCTTGGCTGGGACCGGAACATAACTAACACTTGAACCTAGTTCTAAGGCCGAGTGGAGGCAATGGTGGGGGGAGCCGAGATCTTACCCATTGCCCAGATGGCAACTCTCTGCCCCCTCTCCAGCCTGTCTCTACTCATTATTCTCACCTGATGGGCCCCGGGGCACTCTCGAGGAGCGGGCACAGGGATGCCAGGCTCCTGACTGGTAGGACCATCTGCCAAGCAGGGCAGGCTGGGGAAGGCTGTGTGGGCTCAGGAAGGTAACGCTGAGGGGATCTGGGGGAAAAGCTTCCGCCCAAGGGAGGGGATGAGAGAAGGGAAGGGACTGGGACTGCCCTGAGGGATACTGACAGGAGGAGGGGGCTCAGTGGGGTAGGCTGGGGCTCCAGGAAGGCGGGAAGGATTCAGGGAAAGGGAAAGAGGGCCCACAGGGGGACACGGGCCAGGGGTGGTGGCTTGGTGAGGGACTAGAGATTCAGCGAGGTGACGGGAATTCGGGGAGGGTTTCGGAGAGCAGCTCAGTAAACGGCGAGGGACTCGGGATGGGGCAGACTCTTGGGAAGGAGTTTCGGCAAGTAGGTGGGTTCTGGTAGGGCGTGGTTTGAGGGGGCGGGGCCCCAGAGAGGTGGTGGTACCTGGAGCTTTCGCAATTGCTGAAGCTGGCTGCGCAGGTCATTCGTGCTGTTTTGCAGGCCACGCAGGTGCAGCTGCATCTGCAAACGGTTGATGGCAGTGGGCTGCCCCGCAGGGGTGCTGCTGGCCGGAGGCGGGGGAGGGCCGGACACTGGGGTGGCCCCGCTGCTCCGGCTGCCTGACCCACAGGCTGCAGACAGGGACCACAAAGATGGGAGAAAGGGAATGAATCGTGAGCTGGGAGAGATTGGGGTAAGATCTTCCCCACTCGTGGCCCCACACAGTAGCCAGGGAGAAGCGTAGCTCTGGCTCCCTGCCCCAACCAGTGGTCAGCCTTTCTGAGGGGAGACATCTCAGGCTAAGGTGACTACTCATTTACCCATTGAAGCCTGGTGATGTAGCCCCTTTACAGACTGGGAAAAGACCAGAGAGGCTAAGACAGGGCAAGGACCTCTGGGGGAGGAAGAAAGGGTCACTCACGTGCTGAGGGGGTGGCTGCTCCATTGGAGCCTTCAATCTTCTCACTGTGGTACAGGGAAAAGATAGCCATCACGGGGTCCAGGCTGGCCCCAGACTGTCAAAGCTGGGTGAGACTTTAACGTAAACTCTTCCAGTCTCCTGGTCTCAGGATGGAGTGTCCGAGAAGGGACGGGATTCACCCAGGGCACCATGACGAGACATGGGCAGGGCTGAGCCCAGGGCTCTTGCTGCTTACTTTCCCCTCCTCTTGCCCCAACCACAGGCCTTTGGCAGTGGTGTTGGGAAAAGAACCTCACCTGGGCGTCTCAGGCTCCGAACCTCTCAGTAGGGCACTCTGCACCAGGCCTGTGAGGCTGGCAATTTGCTTCTCCATGGCCTCCATGCGCTCCCTAGGGAAGACAGTGGCCTTGATCAACCCCATCTCTGGTCAAGGGGTCCCTCCTGCCCAGCCCCCCTCTCCTAAGATTGATAATTAGAGGAAAACCATTTCCTCCTCAGCCACCAGCACACAGACAATTCAAAGGGCCTCAACACCTAAGGATCAAGTCCACAGCCCTCCCACACACCTAACACTGGAAATGCCCTTCCCCATTTGACAGTCTGGAGAAGGAAATGGCAACCCACTCTAATGTTCTTGCCTGGAGAATCCCAGGGACGGAGGAGCCTGGTGGGCTGCCATCTATGGGGTCACACAGAGTCGGACATGACTGAAGCGACTTAGCAGGAGCAGCAGCATTTGACAGTCACCCCCTCCCTCTCCAGACTCATCTCTCATCACTAGCTCCCTAATGGGTCTCACCCAGGTCCCCTCTAGACCTCTGCACATATATTCCCCCTGCTAGGCACGCGCTTCTCCCTACCTCTTTTCTGAAGCCATCCCAGAGTCCCCAACTGCCTTGAGGAATACACCCTCCCAAGGGAAGAACAAGTTTGTTTGTTTGTTTTTAACTGTGCCTCCCCCACTAGACAGGGCAGGAGCTGGGTTTGTCCAACTTGGCATAAACAGTGCCCATTGCAGTGCCTGGCACACAGGCCACAAGAAAGCTATGTGAATGAATCATTTCTCCTCACCTCTCAGCAGTGCTGCTTGAGGGCAGAGGAGGGCAGGTGCCATGATTACCTCCTCCAGCCTTGCACCCTTAGCAAGGAGCTGGGTGATAGGCACGAGTTCCCCAACTCGGAGGCTACTTAAAGAAATGTACCTCTTTCATCCCCACTTCTTACCATCACCCCCTTCCCAGTGGATTTCAGCCGGCCATGTGCTGGACAGCTCTCATGGCGGCACGTTTTGTGCCTGAGCAGGAAACGCATTAAATAAAGAGTTCTGTCTCAGCCTCAACTCTAGTTGAGGAAACTAAAGCTCAGGGACCAGCTGCAAGCCCAGATCTCCAGGCCCCTTGTCTGGGGCCCTCTCATCCATCCCTTGGGGCTTGCAGATGAAATGTCTGTCCAGTGCCTGCCCGGCCGCGGCCAAGATAACCCTGGTGACCCCTCAAGGATACTCCGGGTCTAGAAGGACTCCCGGGTCTCAGAGTCCAGGACACAGCCTGCCACGGACTCTGGCGCGTCCCCTCTAACTCACCGCACCCGCACATCCCCGAGCCTCGCCAGCTCCCTCACCTGGTTTCCGTGTCCTTGGCTGGCACAGGTGGCCCGAATCCAACGAGCGGGCGCTCCCCAGGCCCGGGGAAGAGCTCGGAAGGGGGCGCTCCGGCCGTCGAGGAGCCCCCGGTGCTGCGGGTCTTGCCTCCGGGGCTCTCGGCGAAGACCGACGAGGAGCCCGAGTCTTTGCGGAAGGACTGGCGCACCGGCGAGCCGCGGCTGGGCGGCCCCGAGTAGGGGCTGTGCGGCGGCGGGGGCCCGCCCGGGGGCGCGGTCACGTCGGCCAGCTTCTGCGGCGACGAGGGCGGCAGGCGGAAGCCGTAGCCGTCGCCGTAGAGCGGGCCGCCGCCCGCTGCCTTGTACAGCGAGTCCTCCAGGTCGGACTGCAGCGCGGCGGCCGAGTAGGTGCTGAGCGAGCGCACCGAGCCGCGCTTGTACAGGCCACCGGCGCCCGGGTAGGCGAATGGGTCGCCGGCGGCCGCCGCCAGGCTCAGGCGGCCCTCGTGGAGCAGCCCGTAGGGGTCGGCGTAGAGGCCCTCGCCCTTCACCAGCACCATGCCGCCCGCCTTGCTCGCCAGGTCCTCGTCCGGCTTCACATCGCGCCGCTCCAGGATGGCGCTGGGGCTCGGGCTAACGCCCGGGGCGGCGGGGGCGCCTCCCAGCCGCTCAGCCGCGTGGTGCACCGGGCTGCCGGCGTAGGAGGGCGGGCGCCCCCCGGCGTATGAGAGGCGCGAGCGCGACGGCGAGCCCGACGGCAGCCCCGACGGCAGCCCCGGCGGCGGAGAGCCTGAGGCCAGGTGTGGCGCTGGCGACAGGTTGTTGAGGCGCCGCGTGGGCGACGACTCCCGCGACGCATACACCATCTCTCTCTGTGCAGAAGACAATCCCGGAACCCCACAAACCGGTCACAAAGGGGATCCCTTGCCTCCTGCTTAAGGAGCCAGCAGCTCCCCCCACCCCGTGACGCTGAGGAAGTCCTTTCTGTTCTCGGCCTCCCCACCCTCCTGCTGCATCTTCTACCCCTTTCCCGTCAGGGCTCCCAGGACGGAGGAAGAAGTGGCAGAGGGCCAGGCGCCAGAGAGGAGAGAAACCTCCAGCCCACCCCATGGTGGGGGATGGAAAGCCAAGAAGGAAGGGGCGGTTCCTGAGAGCGGTCTCCTAGGATATTTAGAGGCAGGTTTGAGAAATCCTGATCTGACCAGAGGGAAAAGTAGCAGATGAGGCGAGGGACACCTCCAGGACTCCACAATTAACGAAGGCCATCCTCTGCTTAAGCCTCCACGTTCCCTTCCCCAAAGCTGGCCCTGGTCCCTGGTGACAAGTGGCTAGACTCTGCTCCTGGACCCATCTGCCCAAACTCCCCCATGCCCTGGGCCTCCCCAGCCATACCCGAAGGTCCCCGTTGGTGAGGTGTGAGCCAGGGAAAGCGGCGTAGAGTGGCTCTTTCCTATAGATCTTGATAATACTGCGATCCTGGATGTCCCTGGGGGGAGGAAGGGGTGCATGGGGTCACCATCCCCCAGCCCTGCGATGAGAGGGGCACCTCCAGGCAAAGGGGAGAGGGGTGGCAAGAGGGGCCGCGAGGTCCAACCCCTTAACTCCTTGCTCAGTGGATCTCAGGCTGCCTGCCACCAACACACAACCAGCATCTTCTACCCGTTTACCTCGGCCTCACGAACTATTTTCAGTTCGGCTCAAGCCAAGGCCAACCAGCAGGGGTGGATGAATTAAAGGGGAGGCGGTGGGGCCGAGATGACCGAAGAAGGGGGCGGGGCGGTAGGGCTCCGGGAGGACAGGGGAAAAGCGCTGAGGCTAGGTGAGGCGGAGGCTGGGGAATGACCTGTGGTTTCCAGCCCCCCTCGGAGGAGGACTATCGGGGAGCCCACCCCATTCCCCCCGGGGCCACGCCCACCGGACGTCCTCCAGCTCGTAGAAGACGTTGCGAGCCTCATCTTTGATAAGGATGGCTGTGTTGGGCGACTTCAGCATGCCCATGGTGAGCTTCTGCGGGAACATGTGCGCGATGAGTGCGTGCAGCGTGTCCAGGCTGCTAACCTCGTGCGTGATGTGCACGCGCCGAGTCTCCTCCCCGAACTGTAGGAACAGCACCCCTGCAAAGGAGACGCCACCCTTGGTGTCGGGGCCGCCACCGCCACCACGCCGGCGGCTCGGGGAGCCTTCGGGAGTCGCGCTGGTCCCGCAGAGGCAGGGTCTGAGGCTGGACGCCGCCCCGGAGTGCAGGTGCACCCAGGCACTCCTCATGCTGCCGGCCTCTCAAGGCACCTCCCCGACCCCAGGCAGGTTGGAGTCCGGACTGGAAGATGGACAGGCAGTACCTGGTGAGCGCAGCTTGGTCTGGCTGGCTGAGCGGGAGAGGGGCAGGCTCTGTCGGAAGCGGTTCATCCTACTGAAGCCTAGGGGGAGCTCGGCCTCTGACATGGTCTCCAGTGACTCGGCCGAGGCGTACGACAGCTTGGCCGCCTGGTCTGCCAGCCCAGGCTGGGCTCCCTGAGTGTGGCGTGAGCTGCGGGTCTGCAGGGATGGGGGGGCGGGGGGGAAACGAAAGGAACCAGGCATCAGCCCCTTTGCTCTGCCCCCTGCCCCCATCCAGGCCTGGGGAGCCCCAGCCAGCCAGCGAGACACACACACACACACACACACACACACACACACAGAGGAGGGTCTCCTGGATTTCAGACTTGTTGTGCAGGAGAGTTCCCCAACCTCTTGGGGCCTTGGTCTCCCCAGGACACCCAGCAGGTAAGGACTGGGCAGAGGACTCAGGCACCCTGGGAAGCCAGACAAGAAACCATCTGAGCGGGGAGCCATGGGCACGCCTGCTATTTTAAGCTTCCAAAGAACAACAACAACACAAATTTGTCACTGAGGTGAGCAGCAGAATCGTTGAGCAAATTGGGGCATTAGTTCCAGACATTAATTAAGCGGCGGTTTTGTGAGTGATGAATTTATCTTTCGTGGAGTTCAGAGGGTTGGGGTGGGGGTGGGAAACAGGGTCCAGGAAGAAAGCAGAGAGCTAGGGACCCCGAGATCCCAGGTCTTGGAGGCATGGCCCCTCACAGAACTGGGCACAATGTCCTGGACCTAGGGTGACTAGAACCACCCCAAAACCCCCCAAACCAGTTGGATGCCAGTTTCAAACAGACTACCTGCCTAGTACATGCAGTGCACATGCTCAGCCCACACAAGCACATGGCCTAAGTGCCAGGCCTTAGCCCCTCCCTGCATGGCACATGCTGCCACATGGCCAACGTGCCTGGCTAGCAGCCCAGAAAGGCCTCCTCCAGTTCATCACAGCAGCCCTTGTCCTGAAGCTACAGCCGAAGGCGATATCTGCTTGGGGCTAGGGAAGGGTGTCACCCAATGACCATCCCCTGCCCCAGGGACAGTTTGATTACCCTCTCTTTAGGAGAGGGGACACCCTGATTTCAATTGCACTTCAAGAACCTACTTTTGGCTGAAGGGCTGGAACTCTCATTCAGCCACAGCTCCTTCCTGTCTGCCCCAGCTCCTCTCCTCAAACCTGGCTGCTGTCAGAAACTCATTTATTTAAGGGTGAAAGATAATGAATCAGATCTACATCATTCTGTTATGCAACATTATATATATATATATGAGATGTATCACATATACGTGTTATCAAGAAAACGATCATGTTGCCCAGTTGTATTTTTTTTATAAAATAAATTACCTAGTTTAATAACCACAAATCATTCAAAACCATTAACATTGGTTATCTTGGGGCTGAAACACACCTTTCTCTTTACTTTATACATTGCCTGGCTGTTTGAACTTTATACAATCAGAATATATAATTTTTATATTTTTTGTTTTTTATAATGCTAGTGTCTTTTAAAAATATTTATGTATTTATTTGACTGAGTTGGGTCTTTGCAGCATCAGGGATCTCTCATTGCAGCACTTGGAGCTCTCTAGTTACAGCTCTTGGGCTCAGTAGTTGTGGCACGCCCGCTTACTTGCCCTGCAGCAGCCCGCTAGCTTGCCCTGCAGCAGGTGGGATCTTAGTTCCCCAACCAGGGATCAGACCTGCATCCTCTGCAATGGAAGGTGGATTCTCAACCACTGAAGTACCAGGGAAGTCCTCATTTTTATAATTAAAAAAACCAACAAACAGTAAAAGTATCTCTAAAAAGGAATTATTCTCCTCCTCAGCTCCCGCCTTCCCTAAATCCTGATTAACCCCTAATTAATCTCCATCTTCCTATTAACTCAATTTAATGTTCCAATCGGATTAGCACTCTCAAAAGAGAAAGCATCTTCTTCTGATGAGCAATGTGCCCAGCTGTCCCCAAAGTGGCTTCAGAGCTTCAGGATGCTGCAGATCAGATTTAAGGACATCGGTGGGCATCCAGCTTCAAGCGTAATGCTTTGATCAGCGGGTGGGTGTGGGTCTGGGGAGGAGGGAGGCTGCAGAGGAACTGGGCCCACTTGGGGGATGCCTGGGCCCAGACTTCGGAGCCTGCAGTTCAGTTCTAGGCTGATCACCAGGGCCGGCCTGTGCCCCTCTCTTTCCTCACAGTGTGGGGAACCAGGCCTGGTCTGGTGGTCATGAGGTTGCCAGGCAACTGGAAGGTCAGTGGTTGCCAGGCTAGTGTGGATGAGGGGCTACAGAATTCAGGCAAGAAGAGGCAGCTAGTGGGGATGAAGAGTAGGGGGTGGCCACATCACCTCGGGGGGACACAAATGAGTTGCCAATAAGAAGATAGAACAGGAGCCAGGATGAAGGGGACTAGGGATCCTAGGGACTGAGAAGGCAGCCCCTTGCCCAGGGAACCCTGGGAGAAGACACACCACATTCCCTCCCCCACCAGTTCTAGTCTCCATCCTGGTCTTCTGGGCTCTTATTCCATTCTCACAGCCTTTGTAGAAAACCCTCTTGAGAAGAGAGAAAGCGCAATAGTGCTTCTCTCCAGCCCTGAGCTGGGACAATAGAGCAGAGAAAAAGTGAGACATCCAGAAGGATTTCCTGACTACAAGGGAGATGGGAAGAGAACAAAATAGTAATTCAAACAGAGCTCCGCAAAGATAGGAAAGGGCTTCCCAAAGATGGGAAGCAGTGAGCACTGGTCCCCGGAGATGCTCCAGGGAGGAACTGATGACTCCTAGTCAGACATCAGACAGAGGGAACTTTGAGTAGGGGTGGTCAGATTAGGACCTGAGGTTGCCACAGGCTGTCCACAGATGGGGGCAGAATCACTTGGGAGCTTTTAAAAATACTATCTCCAGGGCTCACATTCACTGAATCTAAATCTTTGGAGGTGAGAGCCTGGGGTTCAAGGTTTTTGACAGGTTCCCAAGGTGATTCTGAGTGGAGAATCACGTCAGCATCCACGATGCTAACAGCTAACGAGGTAAGGCTCCCCATGAGCCAGGCATTGTATTTAGGACATGCAGTCTCTTGTCCCTTCACTTTACATCAACTCTATGACATAGATACTGCTCCATTTTATGGAAGAGAAACCAAGGCTCAGGGAATTTATATAACTTGCCCAGGTCACTCAGCTAGTTAGTAGCAGACTGGAATTCACCACCCGGCAGTTAGGCCCTCGGCTGCATGCATTGAACCACTATGTGCTACTGCTTCCTACAAAAAGCCTATAATGCCTGACACCACGAATCTACAATTCTGTGGTTCTCTGATTCAAGAACTTCTCTTTGGGAGGATGCATGCAAACAAGATGTTTGGAGCAAGATGGCACTGGGGGAGTCTGGAATGTATGCCTCCCACCCCCTGTCATAATGCCCAGGATTTGAGGAACCGGGGACTCCAGGATGCAAGCAGCAGGCTAACGTGGTTCAGTTCTAACTCTGGTGCCAAAGAAGATGGGGAGGTCCCAGAGTGTGCTCCCCCAGGGGTCAGCAGGATGTCCTTAGAGGGCACAGACGGATCCAGCTGTGGATGGTCCGAACTCTCCAGAAGAGGCAGGAGAGCACCATACTTGAGCTCAGTCCTCCACTTGGGCAACAGGTTTGGGGGGTGCAGGGCTGTGAGTCTCTTGCCTGGCATGACCAGCTCTCTCCATAGTGGAAAGTAAGAAAAGGATGAGGGACCTATTGTAGTCACGGGGCCTCCCGTCTGGAGGGGCCTTCCTCCTCCAGATTTGGAAAATGAAGTCTGATTTCAGAGAACAAGGCCCTCAATAAGATCATGGGATCCAAGTCCCTCCCTCTGAGCCAGCTGTCTTTCCAAGCAGGGGGAAATGCCTCTCTTGCTCCCAAATGCCCTTGTGTCTCAGGGTAAGCCTGAGCATCCCCCACCCAGATTCCCAGTAGGGGTGGCCCAAACTGTCACACTGGCTCCACAAGCTCCTGGCAGGCGAACCCAGGCTCTCTCAAAGCAGCAGCCCCAGCCTGCAGCCCCAAGGCCCACCGCCCACACCAGATGGTCCCCTGCAGACGCACACCCCTGTGCAAAGCATGTGCAGGGAGGGGTGAGGGCGGGACAGCACATGCAGTTGTCACAGAAGCAGAAGCACCACCACTGACCTTGAAACTCCAGTAGTTTGGCTGCTGATGGAAATAAGAGAAGAGATGGTTATGTGGGGGCTGGGAGGGGAGAGTAGGGCCAGGGTAGGTTAGAGACCCTTGGCGCTCAGCATTCAGCCCTGGGCCCTCCACCCTCCCAGGAACAGGAAGGAAGCCATGCCTGGTACATCCCACTCTCTATGGAGACCGGGGATGGCCCTGAGCAGGCTCCAGGCCTGCTAGCGGGGGAGGGGAGAGCCATTCCAGATGTTTCTAAGTCACGCAATCTAGTCACGGTAACAGTCCTCAGAGAGTTACAGGCAGGAAAAGACGCAGATGACCATGATATGAGAACACGTGAGATGCTGGCAGAGATGAATCAGAGCTGCGGGGTGAGAGAAATGGCATCTGGTTGTGCCAGCTGAGGGAAACTTCCCGAAAGAGGTGGCATTGGAGCTGGGCATAAACAAATGAGCAGCTGGAGGTTGGGAGGAAGAGCATGGGCAGAGGGCCTGGGGCAGGCATGTGCTGGGTGTGGTAAGGGGACAGTCCAGTTTGGTTGGGGCAGAGCCTGCAAAGTAGCATATTAAGCTGCGAAGGGGCTGGGGCTAGAGCGGCACCCTTAAATGCTGAGCAAAAGAATTTAGACTTAACTAAACAAGGTGGACAAGCAGAAAGCATTTGAGTGAAACCAGGTGGGATGGAAAGTGGACCACAGGAAGGCTGACGGGGCAGGGAGTGGAAGAGGGAGGCAGGGAGCCAAGGCCAGGGCAAGCAGGCCTGTGTGACATGATGGACCCAGGTTTCAGGGAAAGTGGACAGATGCCTGTCACCCCACAGCCCTGGGCAATGGATGGGAAGCCACGGGCAGCAAGGGATCATTGGCGATGTCCTGTGGGTGGACAGATGAGAGAGTAGGGCTCCTTGCTCCCCCAGAATGGGCGTGTTAGGCTTCTCTTCATTCACAATAACCTAGAGTCACCCTGCCTTCTCTGGAGACCAGAAGGCCCCTCCAGATGGCTAAGGACAGGGAGGAGTGGCCCGGAGGCTAGGCTGGTTCTTGGCAAAGCTGAGGGCACCCTGCTGACCGGTGCCAGCCTCAGCAGGGAGACAGAGGCAGCAGATGGCCTGGGCCTGGGGTGCCTGGCACCAGCAGATGAGATTCCCTAGGCCTCAGAGCTGCTGGCAGAGGAGAGGGACACCAAGGCTCCCTGATGGCAGAGGGCACCTCGGTGGGGTGTCCTGTGGATCTGAATACTTCATGGCAAGGAGGAGCTGGAGAGGGATTCTGCTGGGAGGAGGCTTCAGACCTTTAGGGTGGGGATGATGCCACTAGGGCTGGGATGAAGAGGGTTACTCAGCAGGACCATCCCATTTAGGCCACAGCCCCACCCCTCCCCCCGGCATTGCCTCCAAGAGATGCAAAATAATAATCACATGCCTGGCAGAGGAAGGGGACAACGAAGTCTGTGCCCTCACCAGTAACTAGAACCATCTATGGACACATTCCACCCATGGGTGCTGAGTGGAGTAGGGGGCAAGGGGCTGGAATAGCAGGCTCTAGCCACAGTTGCCCATGGCCTGGGGAAGGGAACGGTGAGCAGAGGGAGTGGACATGTGATCGAGGTTGGGGCGGGGAGGCAGAGCCAGGCAGAGGGCAGGGGAAGGTTTATGATGAGAGTCGTGTCTGCGGCCCCAGTGGTGATGGACGGCTCTGCAGAGAAGGCCGCCGTCCCTCATCCAGCTGCACATCCCCGGCGTGCACACAGACCACCCACGGAGCTGTGTACAGACTCTCAGACAACCTCCCATGAGAACCTCACCACAAACACACCCAGAGCAACAGACACACCCACAAAGGGACAGAAACACTCAGAGAAGAGCCGGCCACAGTCTGAAACGCAGAAACTCAGACAGAGATATCCATAGGTGGACCAACCCCAACCACACAAACATGCACAGCCTATTCCCACCCCCACCCTGCACCAGGCACTGACCTGCTCACACACACACTGCTACAAGCAGAATCACAGAGGCACCCCCCCACCCCAGCCCTAGCCCCTAGGGAGTCACGGAAACACACAGAGACAGGGATGCCCACTCACACATATGCGTACGCATACACAACAACTGCAGAGACACACAAAGCCACACACACACACATACTATGCACACACACACACAGAGAGTCGCATGCCTCCCTCCCCCCACTAGCCGGGTCACGGTGCCTCTGGCCACCTCAGCCACTGTACCAGGCCTGTGATGTCCCAGACGTCATGTGTCAGGTAGGACAATCATGTGTCCTGATTCAAAAGAAGCAGAAAGTGCCCCTCCCCCACCCAGCCCCAAAAGTCAACATACCAGGCTCAGTATGTGACTGGCGCCCACCTCACATCTCTGGGAGCGGAAGAGGGATGGGTCCCGGCTACAGCCATGCTAGGTGGGCCCCCAACATGGGCCTGCCTCAGGCAATGCTAGGCACATCCCTGGGACACTCAGACCTGGAGAGATCACCAGCTGGGCCCAGGGGAGAGGCCTGGGTGACACCAGTGCCACAGGACGGGCCAGCCAAGCCCCACTAGCGGGCAGAGGGAAGAGTAGCTGTCTTTGTGTTGGTGAACTTGGAGTGAGGCTGGGACCAGAGTCCCGGGACTTGGGGTGCTGGCTGGTAGGGCACGCAGAATGCTGCCCCTCAGTCGACCCTGGAAAGTGGGAAGGATGGTCCTCTCAGGGTGTCCTCACTAGGGTGAGACAGTCTCCTGGCAACTCAGTGTCCTTGGAGGGGAAAACCGTAGTAGGGAGGGGGCCTTGGGGATGTCGTGCATCCCTGTCTGTCTCTTTCCAGGGTATTAACCCCCTGGGACAGCCTTGGGTGACTGAGAGGAGCAGAGGCTCCTCCTGTTTGCGAAGGTAGGACTCTCCTCGTGCAGTCGCCAGCACCCTTTCCTCCTCACCCTCTCCCTGGTGTCAGCTCCTCCCGCCCTGCCCCACACGGTGCCTGGTGTAAGAGGCCCTCTCAACAAATATTTGGCCACAAATCATTGCCAAGAACTCTGGACCAGCCATGGGCAGGGGGGTGGGGTGGTGCATCTCTGCATGCTCTTCCCTGGCACCACTCTCCATCTCCTGGCACCCTGCACTGCTCAGCCTTCTACGTCTTCTCCCTGGGAATTGTCCAGCACCAGAAACCCCTGGAAGGAGGTCAGGGGGCAGGAAGGGCCCAGAGAGATCTGGCTCCCCAACCCAAGGGTAAAGCTGTCTCCCTCCCCCAGACTCAGAAAGGGGGTGTCTCACCTTTCCAGAGGACAGTGAGACTGTGGAAAAAAGGAAGGATTGCACAGGAAAGCCACTTGAGGGTCATCACATGTAGGGAGGAGTCTTAGGGGAGCAGGGGCAAAATGAGAGGGTTCTAAGAGAATAATATGGAAGTCAACCATCCATTCTATAGGGACCAGGCTTTCAGTAATACGGGAAAGGAGATTCCTGGAGACCCAAGGAAGCAGTGCCAGTGGGTCCTCAAACTCCCAGGTGAGAAGAGGAACCAACTTCTTCCCTCCGGGGGGTTAGGAATTAACATCCTGCCTCCTCCACCCTAGGCACCCTTGGTGGGGGGTGGGGGGTGGTTCTTCCCTCCCCCTGCAGCTGGTCCTTTCACCCCAACTCCTGCCCTGGGAGGGCGGGGCCCTGTCCCCTGGGAGCTTCAGCCCCGCCAGCTGAGGTCTTTCCCCTCCCCTGGGCAGACGTCCCCTGCAGGCTAGGTGAGTGCATGACCCCTCCCTGACCTCCAGCCCCAACGACCACGCAGGCTCGGGAGAGGGAGGGCACCCTATGGGTCGGACCCTAGCTCCAGTCCCCTGGCTCCGCGTGCACCGGCGCACACACCCACCTCTCAACTCCAGTGAACACGCGTCCACGTAAACACTCGCCCCCCCACCCCGCCCCAGGCTGGGGCGCCTTAACGACCCCCACCCCCGAGGGCTCCAGCCTCTCACCGCGACGCACGTGCCTGACTCCCCTGCGAACACGGCCGCCTCCTACCCCTTCCCCATGCAGAGTGTGGGTGGGGGGCGGGGGTGGTGGTGCTGCGGGACCTGCGCTGAACCGGAGGCGAGGGCGCACCCCGAAAAGGTCATGACTTTCTGAGGCTGGGGGAGGGGGCGCCAGCCGCTGGCCCGGGCCCCGGTCGCCCCGGTAACCGCGACTCCACCTGGCGCGGCACGGCGCGCCGCCGAGCACATCCTCTCCCCGGCCCCCTCCCCGGCGCGGCCCCGCCGGCGCAGCCCCGCCGAGGAACGGCGGAGGCTGGTGGCTGCGTCGCCGCGGTCACCCGATACGCCGGCCCGCCGCCCGGGACTCGGGTTGCAGCAGGAGAGAGGGAGGTTAGACAGCTTAGTGGAAGCGGGGGAGGGGCTGCGACTTGAAGTCTGGCCTTCTGTCCCCTCCCAGGGTCTTCTTCAGGCCTCCACCTCTAACGATCTGGCCTAGGGTGGCGGGGAGGAGAGTGGCTGGTCTCCCGGACCCGCCACCCTCTGAGCTTACAGGCTCTCCCCACCAGGGTCTGCGCGGTGCACCGTGACCCTTCTAGCTCTCCAGTGATTCAATTCCGAGCCAAGCCTGGGCGACCTAGGATGCCTAAATGTCCTCGGTGACGTCTGATCCTGCTCGACTGTGTGACTCTGGCATTTGCTGAACGTCTCCAGTCCTGCACTTCACAAAAAGGGGCCTCAGACACAGCCATCCGGAAAGAGAAGTTCAATAAGGACTAGGTATAAAGTGATGACAAGATCCTGTGCACGGCCACTGTTCTCTGTACTTCAAAGTCCTGGGGGTGAAGACCCCTTCAAGCTCTCCCCTTCCCTCCAACAGAGTAGAGTCCAGATGTGGACAGGCCTGGGGCCCCATAACCTGGGACGCCAAGTTCACGAAATCCAGCCTCACTTCCCTCCGCCACTCTAACTCAAGACATTCCATCTGCTCCATTTGGGGCTCACACCTCATCCCCATCCCTGTCCCAGCCTGACCTCTATCGCGCATGTGACCACTCTAGATGAGTCCATTCCACTTGCTGTCTAGCCTCGGGGGCAGACACATCTCTGGTCCCTAAGTTCAGTCAATACTGGGCCAAGAGCCGGGAAGGACAGTGGGCTGGGTGCCCTGTGAGTGATGCCAAGCACGCCAATCTCATGCTAGACTTGAGTTATACACAGCTAAGAGTCCCTGCTCTGGAGCCATTTCCTAGGCTGTCACGTTTTCCTTCTCCTCACTCTCATTGAAAAACTCAAGACTTCCTGCCCTTCTCCAGGGGAAGGAAGCAGGATGCACGAGGGAGAGAAATGGTTCCCTCTTAGATTCTCTGCCACAGTGCCTCCTCTGCCACCCTCAAGTCAAGGCCTCCTCAGGGCTGCCCCTGGCCTGTTGCAACTCTGACTCTCTGGTCCCTCCTCCCCTCTGGGGCTTCAGATGCCTGTTTTTCTCCCACGGAAATGTCTAGGCCTGAGCTGGGAGGCCGAGCCCTTAAGATACTGTCTCTGGGTGTCCCTGTCCATCTTCCCATCAGGGAAACTGAGGCATGATGAAGAACCAGGCAATCAGTTCAGAACAAGTGGCTAGATGCCAAGGTTGTCTTCAAATTTTGAAATTAAGCATCAGACATAGCGAGATGGGTGAGAGAAAGACATCATGAAGGACCTCCTGCTGATGAGACTTCAGGGAAAGGCTGGGTCTGCTCAGAGATGGAGGGCGGGTGGGGATAGAGAAATGAGATGGTCTGCAGTGGGGGTGGGAATTGGGCACAAGAGATTCCTGAAAACCAGTGGGGGAGGGTAGGAGAGACATATTACAGTTTAAAAGAGAGAATTTTAAAAAAAAATTTTTTTTTTTAATTTGAGGAAATAAATGCCCTTCAAAAAAATTCCTTCCCCAGAGCCAAGCTTTGGCACAGGTTTGGGGAGGTAATAGGAGAAGGAAATGGCAACCCACTCCAGTATTCTTGCTTGGAAAATTCCATGGACAGAGGAGCCTGGTGGGCTATAGTCCATGGGGTCGCAAAGAATCAGACACGACTGAGTGACTAACACTTTCCCTTTCCCTCTGGGGCGGGAACGGTAGGAATTAGACTATCGGGGGAGAGTACAGGGCATAGGAGTCTTCTGAAAATGTGGGCTCCACATAAGAGCAAGGGGTGCAAAATTAAAATCCTGGATCTCCCCTTTCCCAAAAAATATCCTCCCCAAAGGCCAAGTCTGCCATGGGTTTGGGGGGTGGGAGGAGGCGGGTGACTCACCTGGGCCGGCTGGCCAGCCCCGGAGGGGGCGGAGTCGCCGTGGAGGTGAGAGCAGAGGGAGCTGAGAAGGCACACGGGGTCCACGGTCCAGCCGCCAACCTGTGTGTGCGAAGCGGGGGACACCCCATTAGGGGGAGCGGGCAGGAGCCGCTGGGGCACTGGGACGGGGCGGGGCGGGGAGTTCCGGGGGCCAGTTTGGCGCTGAGCTCACACTGCAGAGGGACCCTGCAACACTGGCTAGTCCCTTACCAAGTCTACGCCTCTAACTAGGGCCCTCCATCTGTTTCCGGGTCTTTCTCTCCAGAAAGCCCCCGGCTGGGGGCTCTCTGAGCCCAGGGCAAAGCCTTCCCCAACTGATACTCCTGAAGTCCTGTTCGTCAATTCTTCACTGCCTCTCTGGACATTCTGCAAGGGAGCTGCCCCTCGCCTCTCCCCTCTTCCAGCTCTTCACTCCCTCCTGGCTGAAGCTGTCACCTCCTACCCCACAGACGTGGGAAGGAGGGGGCCTCATCCCAGTGTACCCCTGCCCTGCAGCACTGCCTTCCTCCCCCCCATCTCAGGGAGGCCGCTTTCTTCTCCCACACCACACCTGAGACTGGAAACCCATCCCTTCCTGGTTCCTCCAGGCCCTCTTCCCCCTCAGCATCCTCAAAGTCGTCCACCTCTCATTCGGTCACCCCACAAACATGTACTGAGCCCCAGATAGGCTTAGGTACTGAGCACTAGATGTAAGTGAAACGTCTGTAGATCCTACCCACTTGCACGCATGGCAGGGAATGAAAGAGTGAAGGAATAAAGGAATGAATTTGTGAGTGGCTGTGCTTTGATTCATTTACTAAGTATTTCCTGAGCGCCTGCTCTGTGCCAGTGAATGTGCCAGACACATAGGAAGCCCTCAAACATGCCCACATCCTCTCTCCCAGGCCTGCTGCCCCTTGAGGCTGCCATCCAGTCTGTCTTCATGTTTTTTTCTGGCCAGACCTCCCCAGACAGGTCTGCAGCCCAGGAGTCCTGTTCCCTCGCCACCTCCAACCCCTGACACTGGCCGTTACATCATCATAGCTCGAGAAAGGAGTTCTCTATACCCTATGGATCCACAGATCCTGGCTGGTCCCAAGGGTTGTTTTCAGACTTCAGAAGTGCAGGGGGCCCTCCTGCTGGGCCTTCCTCCCCTTCCTCGGGGATATAGGACATTCCTGGTCCCCTCTTCCCATCCATCCTGAGCCCTTTCTCTTCTCAGACTCCATTCTGCCTTGGTGACTACACTTATCCCAAGTCCCACTTCCATTTCTGCCCACCTCATGCTCAACCCCCTTTCTAGAGTCTTGAGTTGTATATTCAGTACCTAAACAGACATCCTGGAGAAACACTCCTATGCCCCCTCTAACTCATCTCCCCTCTTCCAGTCCCTCACCCTCCCAAATGTTTCCCTCCCAACCATTTTATTTCCCCCTAAGCACCACCAACATCTCCTTGTCACCCAGGTTTTTCTGTCTTTGCCTTCTGGATCCAGACAGCAAACAAGCCTTGCTCATCTTCCTTCCACCCCACCCCCACCCCATCCTTTTCCTTCATCCTCCCTAACACACTCTCTTCCAGCTTTCCTGCCCCTGCCTCCAGACACTCCCCCTGCCCCCTCCTATTCACCATCTAAAAACAACCATGGCCCTCCTAGTCTCCACCATCTGGCCCCCACGCCTCCCACGGCCTCCCACCCTGAGCTTTCTGCATCAGCCTGTTGGACCTCTATGCCAGTCCCCAAAGCAACTCAGATCTATACTCACCTCCCATCTTCCTACCTCCTAAATCTGTTCTCCTTCTCCATGACCATTCAGACCCTTTTCATCTTTCTAAGCTTAGTTTAAGTACCTCTTCCTCCATGAAGCCTTCCCTGACCAGGGCTGTCCACCTGATCTCCCTTCTTCCAAACCCTCTTCCGACTGACTGTGCTCCTTATACTTAGGTTTCACCCCATCTAGATCACAAAGGGCCTTGCCCCCTCCTCCTAAGTCAGAGCAGCAGAAGGAATCCACCGAGAGGGACCCCTGAAGGGGAAGGCCTGATCACCTTCATTTGCAACTCTCCCTTATCCCAGTTGGAACTCTGCTCCCGGGAGCGCTCTGGAGATGGGAAAAGGTAAAGGTTGGACAGAACTGGAGGTGATATGAGAGGCGGATAAGGTACAAGATATGCTCCAATGTATCTTTGTTCCCTGCAGTGAAGATGGAGGTGGGCACAGTCTTCCCCCTACCCAGCCATGCCCAGCAGTACTTGGAAAGGGGGACAGAGCCAGACATCTGTGGGAGCAGGGACTGACACCCCAAGGCTTGACTGAAAGGATGCTGGCGTGCTGATGGGAACAACTCCCCTTCCCTCCACTCTTTTTCCCAGAGTAGATAACGCCTGAGTCTCAACAACCAACATGCAGCAGCTGTCAAGGCCCCGCACCAATGTGGGACTGTCCAGTCCCAAGAAAGAACTTCCTTGCAGACAAGAAGGCCTTACTCAGATGCAGAGATGCATCCAGGAACCAAGGATCTGGGAGAGCTTTACAAAGGAAACATCGCACCTCATGTAGAAGGAGATGAGTCCTGGACCAGGGGAGCTGGAGTCCCGACTCCCCTCTAAGGCTTACTGATGACAGGAGAGAAACAAGGCACAGAGTGGGGAGTCTTCTAGTTCAAACTCACACAGCAAGTCTTGGGGGAAGGAACAGGTGAAGAATGGGGGAGGAGGAAAAGGCGCCAGGAAGAGACCCAGCCTTCTCAAGCTCCCAAGGCCTGACCTTCCCTTAGGGGCCATATCACAGAGATGCCCACCCCAAGGTACTCCAGCACCGGATGGACTCTCAGACTCAGAACAGTCAGCCCTGGAGGCCATCCCTTCTTCCTCCCCACCACTCTCTTGAGCTCCCAGACAGCCTTCCTTCTCAGCCCACCAGCCCCAGTTGGAGGCTGGACTTTCTCTGCCCAGTCCCATGCTCCAAATTCCAAGACTGCCGGCAGAAGTCTGGGAGCTGAGCCCCCACCCCCTTCCTCCCCAGGCTCCCCGGAGCCAGCCGGCAGACTTCCACATCCCCCACTCTGCTCCAGAGGCGTCTCAGAATCAGGATGAGCCTGGCGTCAGGGGCACACAAGGCAGACCCCCTCCCCAGCCCGCGGCCGGCCCCACTCACCTGCTCCCGCATCCTGTCTTGCTGACCCCGCAGGGCTAGGGCATGCTGCGGGTACTTGCTCTTCAGGTGGTCCATGAAGGCATCGCGCTTGCGGTCGGCATCCGCCTTCTGGAGCCCGCTGAGCGCCTCCAGGCTCTGAGCGGCGATCACCGTGTGCCGCCGCTCGGACGTGTGCACCAGCCCCACGTTGGAGAAGCGCCGGCCCCCGCTGCCCCCGCCGCCCCCGCCCCCCAGGGTCCGGTACTCCCGAGGGTACTCGGCATCGTCTGCAGACAGCATGGGGGGGCTGCTCCGCTCCGGATCTGCGAGGGGGAGAGGGGGTTCGGCGGGGTCACGGTGCGTGCTCGGCCTGGGACTGCCCATCCCCCACTGGGGTCACTGCGAGGAGGGGCGGCAAGAGGCCCCTGGGGTGAGGCAGGGACTGCCTGACAGGCACTAGGAACAGAAGAGGCAGAACGGGGCAAGCAAGAAGGCTGGGGGGCAAAGGCAGTGTCCAGCTTTCTGGTCTTCTGCAGGGTTGGAGGATAATGATGCGGGTTAGGTGCTGGCCTTAGGAGCCAAGAAGGGGCTGGGAGCAGGGGTCCTGGGCACCTCTCCAGCCACACATCCCCTTCCTCCTTCCTTAAGCTAGGGTGCACAGGGGAGGGAAGCGGGGTTCCTTTTAGATGCTTCCTGCAAACTGTGGAAAGGAACCTGCACTGTCTTTCTTTCAAGAGCATCCTCTTGGGAGTGGGGTGGAGGCTAACCTCCTCCCTCAGACTAGCATGTCTAGGACACACTTGTCTTTAGGCTGGGGGTAGGCTTGGAAAAGGGCCAGGACTAGGAAACAATGGGGGGGGGGAGTGAGGGCAAAAATCACACTTCCAAGAAGATGCAGGTCCAGGGTCTGGGGTTTGGGACCCCCTTTTCCCTCCCCATCCCCAAGACAGACAGACAGACAGACAGGAGAGGCTGGGCACAGAGAAGACAGTGAGAGATGGATTGGGGACAAACTCAAAGAAAGCAGACAGAACAGCTCAAGCTTTCCCCGCTGGGACCCTCCCCACCCCCTCCCTTCCTTCAGTCTCCCTCCCAACATACACAAGTTCACGACCTATAAGGGACGCACAGGGGACAAAGGACAGTACAGAAGCGAAAAAAAGAGAAGGCCGGGGGTTGAGGTCTCCATGCAGAACTCTGAAGCCCGTCCCCACTTGCCCACCAGCCCTGAGCCCTCCCCTGGCCTCCCCAGGCCCAGTTCTGCGGTCTCCCACCCTCCAGCCTCCATGCTGACCTTCCCATAGCCAGCAGGGACGGTGGTTCCAAGGTGTCACCTACTCCAGGGATGGGAGGAACTGCTGGGGTTTACTTGAGCCATATTCCTGGTCATAACACGAATTTGCCCTCCCTCATTTCCAGAAATCATCCACTTAGCAGACAAACACGGTTTTCCCAGCATAACCCCAGCCTCACAATTCACTAGTCTCAAAGGTGAAACCCTCAGGGTGCCTTGGTTGGAAAGCATCCAGCACTGTAGCAGACACAGGCAGCCCAATGCAGGGGCCGATGGGGGCACAAGTGGGGGCGCTGAGGATTCTGGCACCCGGCCAGGTTCCCTCCAGTGCAACCTCTCTTGGCCCCCTCCCTCCACACATCCACTGTACCTCAGGCCCCTCCTGTCCACCACAGGAGGCAAGAGGACATTCAGCCACGTTCCAGGGAAAGCCACCCTTTGCCCAACACACACATACACTCCTCCCTGGATGTGGCCGAGGCGTGTAGATCTTCAGGACAGACACCCAGTCGACCCAGCACCTCCCACCAAAACCAAGGGAAGAATGGCTCCCAGAGACCCAGCGCTCTGAAGTTTCCAAGGGTCTGACTGATCAGTTATCATGGCCTTCAAACCTCGCTGCACCGCTATGAGGGTATTACTGTAATCCCTTTGCAGAGATGGGACTGTTGAGGTCAGTGAAGTGTAGTGACATGCCCAAAGCTGCAGTAGGTGGTAGAGGCCAGATTTAACTCCAATATTTATTAGATTCACCTCACCCATTCTCACCATACCTTCTGGCCAGACGACAACTGTTTACTGCTAGAACAATGATACCCCTGGCACTCCTTGTTTACCTGCTGTCTCCCCACCCTGGTGCTGGGTCTGGGGTCCCTCCCTCCTCCAGATATCTGTCCCTTGGTTGTGCTCCCCAAAGTGAGGTCCAGACACTCAAGAGATGACTATGGGAGGAATGCTGTCTCAGGCCCCTCCTGTCCACCACAGGAGGCAAGAGGACATTCAGCCACGTTCCAGGGAAAGCCACCCTTTGCCCAACACACACATACACTCCTCCCTGGATGTGGCCGAGGCGTGTAGATCTTCAGGACAGACACCCAGTCGACCCAGCACCTCCCACCAAAACCAAGGGAAGAATGGCTCCCAGAGACCCAGCGCTCTGAAGTTTCCAAGGGTCTGACTGATCAGTTATCATGGCCTTCAAACCTCGCTGCACCGCTATGAGGGTATTACTGTAATCCCTTTGCAGAGATGGGACTGTTGAGGTCAGTGAAGTGTAGTGACATGCCCAAAGCTGCAGTAGGTGGTAGAGGCCAGATTTAACTCCAATATTTATTAGATTCACCTCACCCATTCTCAACATACCTTCTGGCCAGACGACAACTGTTTACTGCTAGAACAATGATACCCCTGGCACTCCTTGTTTACCTGCTGTCTCCCCACCCTGGTGCTGGGTCTGGGGTCCCTCCCTCCTCCAGATATCTGTCCCTTGGTTGTGCTCCCCAAAGTGAGGTCCAGACACTCAAGAGATGACTATGGGAGGAATGCTGCTTCAGAGATTAATAGTTCTATTTTTATTTTCAAGGATTTAAAAAAAAAAAAAACAAGAAGGCCCAACTCCTGATTTCATGGGTATCATTCCTTGGGATGGCAGTGAGCTAAGGTTTCCTTTTAAGTGAATGCATTAAATTCAAAATGAGTTAACGAAGAGCAAATTGAGTTTGCATTAATACAGTATGAAGGTTCGCGAGAAAATTCCTGAAGCTAGCACCTGGCTGAGGCTGGGAGCCCCAGGGCCATCTTGATGGGGACCCAGCCCTTGCTCTTGAGGTGCTAGTGGCACCCCATGGTGGCCAGTGAATATGGCTGAAAAGAAGTGACCTGAAAATCATCCAGAAGAAGGAGGGCCGGGATGGGGGGTTGGTGCTCTGGGTGCTGGAAAAATAGCCCCAACCAGAGTCAGGGGATTGCCTGCCATGACCCTTAAATTCTGTCTTCCACTCACCCTCACCACCAACAGGAGGATTGCTACCTCATGGGACACTGCTGAGCTGGAAGAGACCCTCCATGGTGGAGCGCCCTGGATACTTACTTTGTTATCTTCCTTTGCCCAGTGTGGGGTGGATTCTGCCTACAGCCTCACTGCTGGAAGCCCAGCTTTCAAGCCCAGCTTGAGCCCTGCCTGAGCCAGAGGGCGCCCCCCACCAGCCTGCGCCAGCCAGCCAGGCTCGCTGTGCCACCTAGGGCTCTGGATACCTAGGTGCACTGGAAAGGTCAGTTCTCATCTGCCCTCCTGCCCTTCCACGTCCCTGGACTCAGAAGAGCTCCTCATGCCCACCTGCACCCTCTGTGCCAGCTCCTGGGGAGCTGTGCCAGAGTCCTTCCCTGGCTCCTGGGGGCGCGGTCTCAGTGCACACAGGTGGGGCAGGCAGTATGCCAGCCTGAGAGAAGCAGGGACAGTGGGGAGGTCCAGGGTCACCCAGGCTCTCCCAGGTCGATTAAAGGGGCTGAGGTGGGGCTGGCAGGTACGGGTCCAGGCCGACAGAGCAGGCAGCGGGGAGGCGGAGGCTCCAGACAGTGAACGTGTGCCCACAGCCCTATTGATGACTACAGCCCCGTAAACCTCACAGGAGTGGATGGCACTGGGGATAGGGAGGAGGCTGCTGAGCAGGCCCAGAGACAGCGGAGCAAGGACCAACTCCTCCCTGCCTCCTCCAAGACAGGGCTCAGTCTCAGGTGCCCGGACACGGGCAGGTGCATGCAGGGTAATGGGTGAGGCAGGACCTGGATTCTGGGGGGTGGCGGGGGGGAGGAGGAAGTAGGAGAGACAATGGGCTGTCTCTGAGGGGAGATGGGGCTTTGATTTGAAATCTTTAGACTCTTCTGAAAACTAAGAACCTTTGAGATCCTTGGCTTAACAAAGAAACTCAGGGAAAGAGGTGAGGTAGCTGCCTGACCCAGGAGTCCTAGCTCCCTGCTCTGTGCAGAGTTCTCTCCTCTCTGTGGGGCCCCAGTAGACTGAGACAACTGGCCTGGGATTCTTGATTGGGGCACCATCCTGTTGCCTGGGGATAAAGGGGCCCCTGGGGGCTCAGAGGGCTCAGGAAAGAATTTATCTGACTCAGCCCCGGGCGCCCGAGGTCAGGACACTGGGAGAACAAAAGCCCAGACCAGAGACCTCCTGGATTTAGAGTCAACTCTTCCTCTGAGGGGTCCTAGGTTAGCCATTCTTTTAGTTCTCCATTCTAAAAGCCTCTTCTCTCTCAGAGCCTGAGGGTACTAATCTGTAAAATGGGGACAACATCTCTAAATCCCCCTCCTGGGCCGTGCGTGAGAAGCTGGCAAGACAATGAGGAGAAAGCACATTGTTTTGAATTAAAGACATTCCTGGCTTCTGGGCTGTCGGGACACCAGGACAGCCTTCCTATTGCCCCGGGCCTGCTCCAGACACCACCAAGGCCTCAAGTGGCCCTGACCCTCCCCAGACAGAGCAGCCTGGTGAAAAGCCAAGGAGATCGATTCCAATCTAGCCAGCAGTGGCTCTGGGTGGCAGCGGCCCTGAGCAGATCGATGCTTCTGTTCACTGGCAGAGGCTGCTGAGGGATCTATCTGGCAGGGGTCTTGTGGCTGGGGGGACCTGGGGAGGCAGATGGGACAGGGAGGCCTGAAGGCGGTAAGCAGACTGGATTCTACTGGGGCAGGGTGAGAGACAGGGGATGCAGGGGAAAAGTGGGAGACCCTGGATGGGGAAGCAGAGCTGGGGCAGACTGCTGGAAGGGGCTTGGGACAGACAGCCCCTGAGGCATGGTGGTTGGGGGAGTCAGAGAGGTAAGCTGGAGGTCTTGCCATCATCTCTCCAAGAATCCTGTGTGCAAGACCAGCTATAATTTTTGAGTCAGAGATTCAAGCTACAGGAGAGATGGCCAGGACTAGTGGAATCCAGCTCAGAATGAAGGGAAAGGGAAAGTGGGGAAGTGGGATGTTGCTGTCGCCTCCCTCAGCTCTGCCTTCCCCGCCTGAGCGATGGGGAAG